GACAATCACATGTACATAGCATTGGCACTCAGATCTGACTAGACAAGCCAGTGGGTGCCATTCAGTGGACTCAGAGTGCAGATTGCCGTACATGCAGCCAATGCTACCATACCCAACAGTCCACAAGATGACAAGGCAATACCAATGACCTGCATCATCATCTAACCAGTTTGCAGCTAAGACGCTAGTCGCGCGTCACTTACCTTGCCACTGAAATTGATAATTAGGAAGGCGCCGATAACAGCCATGAATGCACCTGTCCAAATCAGGGCAGAGCAACACATATCAAATACAATCAATTTGTTTCACTAGATACACAACCAGGGTGACCCATTTCCTCACCTTTGAGTTCAGCCCTGCAAGTTCATGTAACTTATGCATGCAGGAAAAATTAATATTGATAGCAGATCCTGCAGCAGAGTGAGAACAACAGCCATGACTACATTCACACACTTACACCAATAAACACGGCACATTCCAACTCCTCAAAAACTCTCATCCCTTACCAAGTATGTCATCAGCATGTAATGTCTCCTTCAAGAATACGACTGCTATAGCTGCATTTGCTGTACCACGAATGGGAACACGAGAAAGACACACGGGTAAAAATGATGCTGATACTATAGCAGAGTTGTAGCTAAAGCGACCCAGTGTGATGCTACGGCGGAACGCCCTGCCAGTTCAAGCTTCACCCGTCCCCCCTTTTAAAATTTTAAAAACGTCACTGCACAATGCGTGGTTTGACTTACCAACACACCTGCTCGTTTCCCTCTGCACGGATGCATGTATGCATGTGTGCATGTGTGCATGTGTGTGTGTGTGTGTGTGTGTGTGTGTGTGTGTGTGTGTGTGTGTGTGTGTGTGTGTGTGTGTGTGTGTAAACGTGGCAATAGACGAACATTAGTATGCTATACTCCTTGTGTGGAGCAATGCAGATTGTACAACCATGCACGAACGTTGCCAGCCGTCCCCTTCTCCACTGATGATTTCATGCTGGCTATAAAACTGCTGCATACAGAGCTGAGGAATAGCCAGGGGTACGTGATTGCCAGGGGTACGTGATTGCCAGGGGTACGTGATTGCCAGGGGTACGTGATTGCCAGGGGTACGTGATTGCCAGGGGTACGTGATTGCCAGGGGTACGTGATTGCCAGGGGTACGTGATTGCCAGGGGTACGTGATTGCCAGGGGTACGTGATTGCCAGGGGTACGTGATTGCCAGGGGTACGTGATTGCCAGAGAATGTGTACACAAATGATATCCAAACCATGAAAGAAACTGTGCCACTTCTGCGAGTGACGCTCAAATCGATCACAGCCTGGTACTGTCCAAGTTAGTACTAACAGCACCGGGAGGAGTAATGAGAACATTGTCCAGATAAAAGTGCTCTTGATCGTAATCTGCCCCACTGTAAAGCTTGCTAAATGGCTAAAGCCCTAACTAAATTTTGTCGATGGCTTGAACGTAAATTAACAGGCTGGACCAACTAAGACGAGACAAACGCACTTGACTGTTACAGTGCGGTGCCAGCCTACCTAAAACTGTTGTCATGCCTAGGGGCGCCACGACTGATGCTGGCGCAAAGGAATATGCTGCAAAGTTCCCAAGTTCACCGCCCACCATCAAAAGGAGGCCGACCCTGAGCAGCGGGCAAGGACAGCAAAAGAGAGAGAGAGACACACACACATACACACACAGAGACGTAAAGAATTTCTGAGCAATAGTAGTGAACGCTACGAGTTTCATGTGCATTGCTTCACCACTGCAACGGGCAGTCAAAATCGTAGACTCGGAGTCCGGTCCATTCGAGTGCAGTATTATGACCTTTCAAAATAATACATGTACTCTATGAAGTGAAATCATGGCGACATGATTCGCAGCACATGGCCCAGCCCCACACAATAGGAATTATAGTACACAGTGGCGGTGACAGCCACACCGTGTAAATCACCCCGCCTCCCCGCTTCATTGCAAAGTGTCCAGCTTTGCTTACAGATGCAGACGGTGCCACAAGCCAATAACATCATGGTCTCCGGCATCACAGCGTATATCACTTACCACCAAATCCAGTTACACAGGTAACTACTACGTGACTTCTCCGCACCGTCCGCATCGCGTTGCTGTTGCTGACTCGTATGGGCAAATCTCTGCAGAGTTTGTCACACGCACATAACCGTTACAGCACTCATGATATAAAGTAGAACATAGTATTAAAGCACTGGTATCTGCTAGTACTTATGACTGTAAAGCCCTACGGTAATGAGGTCATAATTATTGATTATGCTATGAATCTCATGATACACTAACGCAACCCGGATCATAACGATGCTAAGTCTGGAATATATAAATCTATGACTTCAACCTGCTAACTTTTTACACTGAGGTGCTAGCCATGAAGTTGAAAGAAACACATTATGGTCTGTACAAAGCTGTCTTCACCAATATCTACCATCATAATAGACGAGCCATAGCTATGTTTGGAGAGCAGTCAGCTAAGAGTAAGACCCTATGGAGCACTCTGACATTGTACCATACACTACGTCTGCATGGTTTACAGAGACTCGCTCAACATATCCATAAGGACTGGCCTTCTGTGCAGCATGGAATGGGTGGCAGCACTCAGACCAGACTGAGAGCAACACATACTAGTAATATACTCAGCCTGCCGTCCTCGACACCAGCAGACTGCAGTGTTTTCTTGCACCGTGACATGATGTGTCAGCGGATCAGTACAGGCATTGCCTGTATACGAAGTTAATTCGTGTCATGATGCAGCAGCCAAGCCAACACACCCTTGTCATAGGCTTATACTGAGTCCTGCTCCTGACACCGACACTGACACATGCTCATGGACGACTGATAAATCCCATGCAGGAGAATCATGAACAGACATGTAGCATACGTACTGCTGCAGAGTGCAATGCCGTGTAGAGTCACCAGAGTGTCTCCAAAATGACTGCGGGGAGATATGATATGCACACTGTACATGCATGCTAGTTCACTGGAACAGCTTAAAATCGACACCCCCCCCCCCCCCCCACCACCACCACCAGCCAGAAGACAGCGTGAACTGGCGAGCCCTCGACAGTGCCTCACCTGTGCGTTCATAGATACGCTGATCAGAAGGTTTCCGCCTACTGCAACGGCTGAGCCGATAAGAACCGCCTGGGCAGAGTAAAGAACGAAGACGACAAGACTGGGAACGGCAGGTAAGGTGCACACGACTGCTGGACCAGTCAGCATCACAAGCCACCCGCTCCCCTGGCCACCAAGGCCCCCACACCGAGATGGGTAAGTCACACGCATCATTCTCTTATCACTGAAATCCCTTGCATGATGCATAGGTAAGTCCTGGAGGTCAGGGCACTGCGGCAGTGTGAGATATTGGGGACTGTGTTCACGGGACATGAGAACTGCACAATATAGATTACATGTAACTGCAATACTAGGTTAGACTAGAATGGCATACGAGCACATGTAGCTGGTTTGATGCATTCCAGCGATCATCAGCAACGGCATTGGGTGAATGCCAAATGCAGCTACAGAGCCTTTCGCCTCCGTTGTATGCGTATCTGGTTTGGCTATGTCTCCCACCATGGTTGATTGACACTGGATTTGCAGGGACCTTCTTACAAGGAAGCGTGCCAGGTTCAAGATCAAGCGGCCGACCACTGATGACTTGGGTGCACAACATCATGGGCTGGACTTGCCATTCACCGCATGCTCTTGCTCACATCGCTCATGATAGAATTGAATATAGGTCTCTTGTTCATGATTTTGTTTTCCGACTTGATTGACACCCCTATGATCACTTCTGGTTATGGGTCATACTGTAACTTATACACACATGTACATGCGTGTGCCATTTCAACAGCAGACACCTTTTTGCACTGGCTTACAAGTGCAAAATGAGTAGGAGTCAAATGCGTATCCGTTATCCTCCCGGCTCGAGGATTTGTATGAGCTCTGTAGCTGTAGCTTGTTTACAAGAGTGGATGACTCTTCATTTGCCGGCCGCTCCGAATGGGATTCGTCTCGTACTCCGGGCTTTCGTCGTGAAATGTGAACGTCTCTAGTTATAAATTATAACCAGAAAGTGGCTCGGGTCTGCACCGAAGTACTCATCTCGTAGGGCTCCTGGCCGTAACATTCTACACTGTTACTCTACTTGTTGTTGGTTTGACAGCATGAAACAAAGGTGGAGGACACCGTGTTCGGAAACAGTGACCTTGCTACACACCGGCATCCACACAGTTGGCAGAGCCCCGGTCTGTTGAGACCATCTACCAACCGTGTGGATGCCGGTTTGTAGAAAGGTCACTGTTTCCGAACACGGTGTCCTCCACCTTGCTTGCTTCGTGCTGTCAAACCAACAACATGTGTGAACTAAAACAAGGTTTATCTAATAGTACTGTTACTGTACTTCCAATGGCACATTGCTGGGTTTTCCTACAATCAATAAGTTTATTATGGCACATGATAGTACAAGTACGCAGCTCGCTGATCAATGATTCATTATGTAGTAGATCTAGCTCCATGTCATCAATTAATATTAGTTTTAGCACTGTACGTGCATACGTGTTACAATATTTTACCTCCGCATGCGACATACCAGCCATTGCTGGGTCCGCTGCTAGGCTGTGAGGATCATACACACTTGGTTGGTCAGTGCTGGCGTTCGCCATTGCAGTAGTTTTGAAGCTCTCCGATGTGTCCATCATGGCATGGCGCCGCTACAGTTCAGCCCATGCACAGCCCTGCTTGAGAGCCCGCAATAATGGCAAGGTTCCAAATAATTGGCAACTGGAGTCTGAACTGTCACCTAATATTTACCCTATTCGTTCAGAAAATCATTTCTTCACGGACGATCTTTCATCAAAACACAGCTGGGAGATGGAAGCCAGCGGAAACAACCGCTCGATGGTAAGGACACAACAAGGCAGAGTAGATCTACCTCGTGACGCTACACGATACAATGATTCTCACCTTCCTGAACGCCTTCCGGAAAAATATGATTCGCTTCGCTAGCCAGTTGTTTGAGCCGGCCGGTACGATACGAGCACTACAGTCATGCACTAGCCACTACTGTACTAACTCTGTAGTACTGTACTGTAGTCTGCAGTACTCGCTATGGTCTGGACCTGGTTAAATATCCGGCCCGGTTGGACTGGTGCAAGTACTGGTACCCTGATCAGGACACCGCCCGGATTCCCCCGGCCGGAGGGAGTCCGGACTCTTGAACCAGCAGCTAGCTAGCTACAGACCAGTACAGAATACAGGTCAGTACAGTAGTCCACTCCTTGAGCATGGCTTCTCAGGTGCCCTGCATGATCGTCCCTACATCGGGCTAATGGTGGTGGTGGGGGGGGGGGGGGCTAGTATAGGGTATATGGCTACTCATGCTGCCCTCTGTTGCCCCGGCATGCGTTCAACCAGATACAACAGCAACTCGTAACAGTATGAGACCAAGAACTTTCTCCTCTGAGATAAAACTGCAAGAACACAAACTGTAAACTGCTTCCTACAGTTCAAAACTGACAACTAAAAAACTTCAAAGGCATGGAAGTATACATTCTAGAATGACGAAAGCGAGAGCGCAATCGCAGCCCGCGAGTATCCACAGGACTGTGCACAAATGCAAAGACGAGTGAATATATTACGACTAGATAGCATGGAGACAGCACATGCATCAAACGATACGCTACTTGAATCTCAGACAATGCAAAGGTTGAGACTGGCCTGCGGTCAATACATCAGGCGCCAGCAGCATGCACTAGAATAAAAGAAATGAAACCTGAGTACAATGAAAGGTCATGCAAGATTCACCACAAGCTGGGAATATTCCAGAACATATCCCCCTTCACTCACGAGCACAGGGTCAGCAAACAAACTGTGACGAGTGAGTACTACTACGGTACTGTATGATGAAAGAAAAACTTCATAGGTTGAGAGAGAGAGAGAGAGAGAGAGAGAGAGAGAGAGAGAGAGAGAGAGAGAGAGAGAGAGAGAGAGAGAGAGAGAGAGAGTACTGTCACAGGGCTGCCTGTAGCACTTCAGATACACAAGGCACAAACTACTCGGTGTCCAGAATAGGTACTAGATGGTGGATAGACCGTCGGTAGATCTTGTCGCCGATCTTAATATCCACTACTCGGACGAGCTTGTCTGCACCAGGATGCACTGCTGTGACTCTACCCATGGGCCATGTTCCACGGGGAGTGTTTGATGTAAGACACAGCATGATGTCACCTACGGCTACATTGCGACCTTGACGTTGCCACTTACGACGGACATTCAACAAGGGAACATACTCATCTCGCCACCTGTTCCACACGTCTGCTACAAGCCGCTGAACATACAACCAACGTTTGCGTGGGTCTCTGCTGGGGTGCTCGTCTGCTTTCACTTCCAGAGCCATTGGTGGGTCGAGTCGTCCGACGAGGAAATGTGCTGGTGTTAGAGGCTGCAAATCAGCTGCATCGGCACTTACGACTGTCAGCGGGCGCGAGTTCATCATGTCCTCAACCTGGCACATGGCAGTCACTAACTCTTCATCTGTGACGTCCGCTTTCCCAAGTACTGCTTTGAGTCCGCGCTTAGCCGTCTTGATGAGGGATTCGAATACGCCGCCGAAATGTGGTGCTCTAGGTGGGTTGAAGCGCCATCGCACGCCATCACTGACCAGTCGCTTCTCGATCTTCTCCTTGTCCATGGCCCGGACGGCCTCACGGAGTTCTCGCTCCGCGGCAGTGAAGTTGGTCCCGTTGTCGCTGACCATTTCAAGCGGGACACCACGGCGCTTTGTGAATCTCTCAAATGCTAACAGGAATGACTCAGTGGAGAGGCCATATGATACCTCTAGGTGACAGGCACGAGTCTCAAGGCAAGTGAACAGGCACAGGTACCGCTTAGCCTGCGTCTTACCTCGGCCCTGCTTGGTCAGGAAGGGACCCGCGTAATCAACTCCTGTACGGCTGAACGGTTTCAACGAGCCTGCAACTCGGAAGTCTGGAATCTGGCCCATCATCTGGGACGCTGGCTCCGCACGGTTCTTACGGCAAGTGACGCAGTTGCTTCGAACGGCCTTGACTGTTGATGTTCCGTGAACAATCCAGTAGCGTTGTCGCAGATTGGCCAGAAGATGCTGTGGCCCAACTGCATGGAAGCACCGATGATCTTCCTGTTCGATTATCAGCTGGGTTACTCGGTGCTTTGCTGGTAGGATGACTGGGTGGCGTACGCCACTTGGCATGTTCTTTGTAGCTTGCAATCGACCTCCTACCGTCATCAGGGGTGACTCTGTTGCACTATCGAACTGGGGACAGAGAGGTGCCAGAGGGTCCGATTTCAACATCGGTTGCCTAGACTGTAGACGATGGTATGCTGTACCATGGCAATCCTTCTGGGCAGTTGCAATCCAGTGCCGCTCTGCTACTGATACTTCGTCAGTGCTGAGAACTGGAACACTGATGGAGCGGGTGCCGCCAAACTGTACTGGCACTCTCACTGGCGTGCTGGACTGGCTGTCCGATGCGGCATCCCCCTTCGTGGACTTGCTGTCACTGACTGCCTGCCGACAGTTTGCCACAAATCGCTTGCACCATGCTGTCACGCGTACCAGTCGCGACCATGTGCTAAAGCGACCCAGGATCTCGGAGGGTGGAGGGACGACTGCAACTAGCGCCGTCTTGAGCTGACCAGGCAGCGAGGATGTGCTGACTTCCTTCATCTGAGGCCACTCATCTGGCTGCTGGCGAAGAAACTGTGGACCGGACCACCACACTGCGTCACGGCACAGTAATGCAGCAGACAAACCACGAGTACCTTTGTCTGCAGGGTTGTTCTTTCCGGGAACATGTCGCCACTGGTGTGCTCTCGTTGAGGTCTGGAGCTCAGAGATTCGGTTGCCAATGTCCACTTTGTAGCGCCGGCTGTGGCTTTGGACCCAGCCCAAGACGTTCATCGAGTCCGTCCAAAATGTGTGAGCTGACACTGGGATACCGATGGATTCAGCGACGAGATGACTAACGCGAACGCCAAGCACAGCTGCTCTCAGTTCAAGCTGCGGGATCGTCTGTCGCCTCACTGGTGCCGGCTTCGCTTTCGACATCGCTAGCGTTATTCGGGTGGTACCGTCTGGGTAGCTGGCTCTGACATACACAGCGGCTGCTATCGCCCGATCTGAGGCGTCGGAGAAGCAGTGCACGGAAAGACTGGCGTCTTCGGATGGCTGTTGTGGATCCTTGAAACAGCGGCTGATCTCCAGGTTACTCAGGTCTGGGAGGCCTTGGAACCAACCCCGCCACTTGACGACTTGTTCCTTTGGCAGCAGGTCGTCCCATCCCTGTCCCAGCAACCAGGCATCCTGCAGGAGTACCTTAGCCGTGATGACGTATGGCGAGATCAGGCCACGCGGATCGAATATGGAGGCCAGGCCGCGCAACACAGAGCGTCGGGTGAATGTCGTGATGTCCTTCATTTGATGCTGGAAGGTGAAGGCATCCTTCTCGGCGTTCCAACTGACGCCGAGAGTCTTGACAGTTGGGAGGCTGGTGTCACTGTCCACATCTCGGACGACATCAGGTGACCTATCTTCCTCTGGTATGGTGTTCATCACTTCAGCTTTGTTCGACAGCCATTTTCGCATGTGAAAACCGCCCTTGGCAAGTAGTTGCTGCGTTTGCTCTCTGGCCTGGATGGCACGCTGTGTGGATGGTAGTGATGACAGCATGTCGTCAACGTAGAGGTCTTTGCTTAGGCACTGCACGACGTCAGAGTCGTACTCATCACCGTGGTGCTTGATGACCTCTTTCACCGCTCGTCCTGCCAGATACGGTGACGCCTTAGCGCCGAAGAGCACACGGGTGAACTGATACACCTGCACTTGGCCATTGTCATCATACCACAGAAAGCGATGATAGCGCTGGTCACGTTCCGCCAGTTTGACTTGGAGGAACATCTCCGACACATCACCAACAAGCGCAACTGGTTCCAGTGAGAATCGGATCAACACACTGGTCATGTCGTTTTGAAGTGCAGGACCTGTAAACATCTCATCGTTGATGGAGTGTCCATCCCAGCGGGCTGCACCGTCAAATACTATTCTCACTTTTGACGTGGATTTATCTGAGCGTACTACCGGGAAATGGGGTAGGTACCACTGGTCGTTGCCGTCTTTGGCTATCTCATCCGGGTCCACGCGTCTCACGTAACCCTTGGCAATATGTTTCTGCATAACGTCAGAGTACTGCTGCTTCACGGCTGGCCGTGACTGTAGCGAGCGTTGTAGACTGCGGAGCCGCTGCTCAGCCTGAGCTCTGTTGGACCTGACACGTGGCTTACCGCTGTCATTGACCCATGGGATTCGGACAGTTACCCGGTTGCCGTTGCAGCTGATTGATTGGCTCGTGAGCTCCTCGGCTCTTCTGTCATCGGGTGAAGGCGTCTCCTCTAGTGGGTTATCTGTGCCCGCCGACTCATCTCGCCAGAACTTCTCTACTAGCTCGGTCAGCCCATCAGTTAGCACTGTGTCAGTAGCTGGTGTAGTAGCTGTGATTGCACGAGTGGTGTCGACTCCTGTACCAATGCACACCCACCCGAGAGGAGTTCGTCGAGCAATGGGCGCTCTTGCTGTTTCTGCTCGCCGTTCTTCTAGAGTAGCATGAAGCTCGATGGCATTCAGGCCGATAAGCGCGTCGATCTGACTGCCCTTGATGGATGGGAAGTCAATATCACTAAGATGCGGCCAGCTGCTCTTGTGCTGATTCCAGTTCACTGCCGGTAATGACACGGTGACGGTGGGCAGAACCCAAGCTTCAAGCTTGTTCATGGTCTTGTCGCCCAGAGCCGCCACTTGGATCTGTACATGCTCACGTCTTGCTGCGGTCTGCTTGCCGCCTACTCCGGAAGTGACGAGCTGCCGCTTGGGTCCACGCACATTGAGGGCTGTTGCCACGGACTGCTGGACATAACTCGTGGACGATGCTGGGTCCAGGAGTGCATTACCTTGGAGGCTCACACCATTGTGTCGGAATACAACAGGCACAACCATGAATGACTCGCCACTGTCAATCTCTGGCTGATGACTTGCGCAATGTGTTGTAGCAATCTTGGCAGGACCGCCACTGCTGGCCGAAGCTGCGTTGGCCTTGATTGCGGCATTTGATGGGTCTGCAGCGGAATCCGAGCGTCGGATGTTGTAGTGTAGCATGTCATGATGCGTGCGGCTGCACTTTGAACAGGGTTGCCTGGTACAAGTCTTTGCGCGATGATTGAGACCGAAGCATAGGGCGCAGACATCTGGCTTGGACTTGATGACTTTCCATCGGTCCCTGACCTCCATCTTAATGAAATCGGGGCAGCGGTGGAGCTGATGCGCCTTGCCACACGAGGGGCAGCTTCTGTCGGCACCTGCATCCTTGCTAGTTGCCACAAATGTTCGTTCAGACTTTGTAGCACTCTGCTTCGACCATGATCTTGCTGGTGCTGGTGCTGAGGCAGTGACTTCTGTCGACCGGAGTCGTTCATCGGCACGGCGTAGTGTGTTGACGCGTCTGAGGAGCCACTGTGTTAGCTGGTAAATATCACAGTCAGCATCGTCATACTTCTCCATGTACCTAAGCAACAGCGATTTCGGCAACTTCTGCGTAACCGATAGGTACAACTCACGGCCCGGTGTTACTGCACACATCTCCATATTCATGAGCATCGTCCGGAGTCTGAGGACAAACTTGGCAAAGTTGTCGTCTGACTCTTTTAGCTTCGGCCACTGCAAAATCTCCTTCTCTTGGCGCTCAACAGTGCGATTGTCGCCGCCATACCATGCATCTAGCTCCCTAAGGATGGTGTGGTAGGCTCCTGGACCGTCAAGCACGCCATCAACAAGGTCGCTGGCCGTGCCATGCATGAGACACTCACGCAGTTGCGCAAGTTTGTACGCTTCAGTCGTTAGTGGATCTTCGTCAACAACGCGGCGAAAGTTCTGCTTCCACCGGTCGTAGTCACTAGTCTTGCCAGAGAACTTTGGTAGCTCCAGTGGCTTCACGTGAAAGCTGAAACTAGCAGGGTGTAGTGTCTGCAGTTGAGGTGGATAGGGCATGAAGGACTCTGCTTGCGGGTTTAGCACCTGCTTGGAGTGTTCTTGCACTGCCACTGGTGTTGGTTGCTGCTGTTTGGCCACTGCTGTATGCTTCTGTGGTGTATGCCATGGTGGTGTTGCATTCAGCATTGATACTGCCTTCTTGTTACTGCCAGGCAGTCTTGATTGTACTGCTGCACTGCGTATTGCTGGCTGTACAGGCACTGCATTACTAGCTGCCTGTATGGACACTGTAGTACGTCCTACAGCCACAGGCGCACCACTGGCCATTGACTTCTTGGCTGGCACTACTGACAGCACTGTACTGGTCACAGACTTTTGAGCGGGCGCGCGCATGAATGCTTGCGCCACTGGCCCCAGGGCAGGCACGCCAAACGCATTGACACTACATGTACTTGACTGAGCTGGGCTGTCTTCCGCCACACCTAATACAGCCTCAGGTTGTGTGGGCGCATTCACAGTACGAAACGTACCTTGCAAACTCCTTGGCTTGCCGGGGTCGCGTTGTCCGTTCACTCCACCGACATCACTCATCGTTCTGAAGTGCTCACGCGGTGGTAATACGAATTTTCGACCAGGTCCGGCCAACTTGTCGTGCTCAGCAAGACTCTTGGCAGTCAATATTGCCCTGCCACTGGATGCAGCGTTTCCAGTCTCTGATTTGCGAGACGACACTTTGCTCCCTGACCCGGATCGTAGTGCAGCTGCAGATTCAGCCTCGGCTCTTCGAACCTCCAGTTCCCTCTGCACCAAACTTGTCTCACGAGCCAACTTGCGTGTCTCGGCTTCCTCCTCCAGCTCAGCGATTTGCCTTGCAGCCTCAAGTTCTACACGAAGCATCTCTGCACGAAGTGACGCCTGCGACGCAGCAGTTCCTGAAACTTTCGAGGGCGCATGTCCTGCAGAGCTCACGCTGTCCGGGACGTCACTCCAGTTATCAAACCCGTATCTGCTCGGCGGTCTCCCTTTGGTAGACCGCGAGCTCCGTCTACACTCAGCGCCTGGGACTTGCTCGTCGTCGCGCAGGACTTCTTGGATCTGGCTCTGAGATCCGGCTCGAATAGGACCACTATGGCTACTCATGCTGCCCTCTGTTGCCCCGGCATGCGTTCAACCAGATACAACAGCAACTCGTAACAGTATGAGACCAAGAACTTTCTCCTCTGAGATAAAACTGCAAGAACACAAACTGTAAACTGCTTCCTACAGTTCAAAACTGACAACTAAAAAACTTCAAAGGCATGGAAGTATACATTCTAGAATGACGAAAGCGAGAGCGCAATCGCAGCCCGCGAGTATCCACAGGACTGTGCACAAATGCAAAGACGAGTGAATATATTACGACTAGATAGCATGGAGACAGCACATGCATCAAACGATACGCTACTTGAATCTCGACAATGCAAAGGTTGAGACTGGCCTGCGGTCAATACATCAGGCGCCAGCAGCATGCACTAGAATAAAAGAAATGAAACCTGAGTACAATGAAAGGTCATGCAAGATTCACCACAAGCTGGGAATATTCCAGAACAGTATACTACAGGGGCGTAGCAGCCGCTCCGGCCGGTCCGGCTTTTGCCGGACCACTTTCTCGCCCGGCCACGACCACCATAGTAAAACAATGCCAAAAGCGCCCAGAATACAGGATTTTGCACCCTAATTTCAAAAAAATTACGGGGGCACATCCCCCTGGACCCCTCCCCCCCCCCCCCCGGCCGGACCACCGCCAACGGCGGTGCTACGCGCCTGTACTAGTACTAATTCTCCAAGCCCAGCAGCACAATGTGTATGTGCACTGTACCTCTTGGCCATTTTATTCAGGCGTGCCTCAAACCCAAAGCGCAGACATAATATTATCAATTATCAGGGTTGCAAACCCCCCAGGTCCGGTATTACACGACGAGAAAACTTGAGCCTTGAAGCGCAAGAATGAAAACTATAGGAACAAGACTGGAAAAGCCAAACCCGGCTGAAACGGACAAGTCCATTTGAGCGTTTGTGGAAAAGCTTATTCTGAGCTACTCTCTTCCAAAAACTCATGGAAATCCGGCCAAGTTAGTGACAGTGAACCAGGCAGCAGCAAGCAGGGTCAGCAAGCAGGGGAGGGAAGAAGAGATTGTGCACATGTTCGGATCGTCACTGGAGAAGTTCCGGATCTTATGACGTGATCCAAGATCGGAGTAGGCAGGAGCAATCCATTGGTTATAGTTGCTGCTTGTGGTTTGGCTCATTGCCCGCCGTTGAAGTTGTATTGCTCCTGAGTGCTGCTTGGCAAAGTCCAACCCGACCCCAGAGTGGTTTTTGTCATGAAATCAACAGAGTCTGTAACCTTGGTGTTTATGGACTCCTGGCCGCAAAACGCATAGCAGGCTATGTGACACGCGGAGGTGCTTGCTCGGAATTGCACCAAAGAAATAATAATACCGGCAACTGCCCTGTACTGACCAAACTGAGTGAAGAAACCAAGAATCATAAAAACAAACAATTATTACTTAGGAAATTAGGCCATGCGCCTGCTTATACTGCTCTTTTCTCTTCGAAACTCAACATTTGCAAGTCGCAAGCCAGATGCGAAATGCAGCATGCAAGTGTTGAGTTTCACTACCTTTCAGAGAAAGACTAAGTATTATTAGTTAGTAGTCAGGCTGTCTAATTTCTTAGGTTAATACTTTGAAATTGTCTGTAAAAGGCCAAATTTGAAATTGAAGCAAACAAATAACAAAAAGGAAAAAACAACGAGGAAACAGTAAGAAATGCTTGTCTCGGTAACAGCCAAGAGGAGGGGGGTTCAAGATACCCATGATCTATGTACTTTGCCCGGCACCTTTTAATTTCGTGTTGGTAATGACACAGTGAGTGTGTAAGTTCTGCAGTCGCATACATACAGGTGTCAGGACAAAACCTGCCCGGTGTATTTCGGATGGTGAGTAATATTTGACACAAAACCATGCCATAACCATTTTCGAACCACGACACAGTACATACAGTAGCACCATGCACCCGAGACACAGGAAAAAAGAGTAAAATAATATCATCGTGTCCGTTCCCGAGGGAACTCACTACGGCCGCTGTCACCCGGTAAAACCAGCCGCAGGTGCAGCGCCTTACAGCGGGAGACACAGTGTGAAATTATAAATTCTAATTTTTTCCAACTAAAGTAGCAACAGGGAAACCATTCACAATCAAAATCAAAAATTATGCCTCTGCAGCAGCAGCTAGACCAGAGCTGTACAGGAAGATAGAAAAGTATGAGAAATCAGACAAAAACAAATTACGCATCGTAATACTATGTACATTGACAAATAAAACAACGTCAGCAGATTTACAAGCACTCGCAAGTATATGTACAATGGAGAGAGAGAGAGAGAGAGAGAGAGAGAGAGAGAGAGAGAGAGAGAGAGAGAAAGCAAGCTGGGTTTCAGGATTTCGGTCTAGCAGCTGTACATGATCGTGTACACTGTCCAGCAGTAGGGAGCTGAGGCTAGGGTTCATGTCAACAGCCAGCATAGCATGCGAGGATAAACACAGCATTATAATGGCATATGCAATATTCCGGACAGAGCGGAAGAACGCAACGGGTCAGGTTCGTTGGAGTATATACGACGGCTAAAAAAAGAGAAGAGAATGTACAGTCAAGTGCGATTCTGACAACAGCCAGCAGTAGCAGAGGTTGCATCGAGTTGCCCAAGCAATATGCTCTCACATAGGTTCGACCGCTGGGCTGTTCAGATCTGGAATCCAGAAAGCCATCACCGAGCAAGCACTAGCCAACATCATGTACTTGGGATTAAAAGCCACGCACCGGCATGCAGTAGGATGCGGGCCCTCCAGCTGGTTCAGCAAGGCACCTGTCTTTGTATTGAAGAGATGGATGTGGCCATCACCAGCACCTACAACCAGTGTTAGCAACAACAACAACAACAACAACAACAACAACAACAACAACAACAACAACAACAACGTGAGAATAAAATATTTCAAACAACAACAACGTTTCATGCCTTGGAATGTCTCAGTACTCCTTCAAGTCCTTGTCAGTTTTGTGCTAGATTGTGCATGTCTGACTGTTCAAAATCGGATTTGGTTGGTGGACTCGATCACATAACTTGTGCCCACATTTTTCCATGCTACAAAAAATTGAAAAGTTCAAAATTATAAATTCTGCGAAAATTGACTACACCACCACCACCGGATGCACGGTTGGGTTGTTGTTGTTGGTGGTGGTGTTGTTTCTTTATTTTACTTCACCATATGAACAGGGTCTTTTCGTAACTGTTCTATTCCAACACATGATCTAACAAGCAACACCCTGTTGTGAAAAAATTCATTTTACGTAAGAGTAGCAAGCTTGCAAGTGCAATGAATGTGTTATACAAAAGAAAGTTAATAAACCCCTCCGGAAATACATGTACAGTATTGTTTTGTATCATAAAAGCCTGTCTCATACACAACCCTGTTTCGAATACAAGCTTGAATTTGAATACTTGATAGTAATGATACAACACGCGGCACCACCCACCCCATACACACTCCGACGCACTGACTTACCAACAATGAGGAACTTTGAGTCAGGAGTGAATGTGGCATCAATGAGGATGCTAGGTCGAATGCCACTTGCACTGCTTGTATTGGCTGGCGGCGCAATGCGGAACGTGTACAGCTCCTGTCCGGAGAACGCATCCAAGAGTAGAACAATACCCTGCGCAGATGTGATTGCAATCTGCTTGCCATCAGGTGAGAACTTCAGCAGCTAAACACACACAGAGGGTCAAGACGGCCAAAGAAAGACGGCATATTATCAACAAATCCTGCGATAGCATGGAGGCATACGGGCCTCGCGAAGTATAGCGCTTTAAATAGCGTCATATTGCAGCGAATTAAACGTACTAGTCCATTCATGCAATACATGCCCGAACACATGTTCTACAGTTGCCACGAGAGGACGGCGAAGAGAAATAACAGCTCGGACAAGTACAAGTACAGCTTCTCTTCTTATCTAGTAGTATATACCTGCCAGTCCCCGGTGTTACCCAGCTGACGATTCACGTTGGGAAAGGTGCTGAACGGTCCCTTGTCGTAACTGCGCAGATCGTAAAGCTTCACATGCTGCGAGTCAATACCGGCGGCAAACACGAGACCTTCCGGATCGAATGCCGCGACCGGCCGTCCAGAGAGAGACATCAAGCCTGCAGAACACCATAAGTTCACAACAGTCGCCGTGATGCTCAATGTCACAAACCTGAAGAGCTCATGTTAACGGCCAAATTTGCTCAATGCTAAACGCAGGAGAATGTCATAAGCTAATATAGTACACATCAAGTCAAACCCTGCCCAGTAGCGGACATAAAAGTAGCTTGTTGAAAGCGCACTGCAAACCAAACACACACGACATACCTTGACACGACTGTGACCGAAGATCCCATAATCGAACTGTCCGGTCCAGGGAGCCTGAAATGAACGTATCATCTATGGGCGACATATCCAAGGCTACAACTCGCCGTGTATGCCCGCCGAAATACCGCAAGTACTTCATGTCATGCAGTGAAAGATAGCGGATTTGATCATCAACCTGCAAAAGGAAAGTAAGAAGTAAATGTAAAGTTGTTGTAAACCATACACATGAACACAGTAGGGACATTCCCCCAAGACTAGAGGGAGTCCAGTTCGGCGATCACAAACATATGCTTAGACAACCGAGGGAGCACAGAACTATTGAACAGATGCACACCGACTACACTCATAATAGCTTGAAAAGTCTCGAAATGTTGATGTCATGCACGTTGGAACACTAATCCATGACACACCAAGGGCAAAGCGAGCCTCATAAATACGTGAAGCATACATGTATACAGTAGGTGTGCTGAAGACAAGCCAGGTAATAGCACACGACCAACAACATCATAACTGTCCGGTTTCCGACCCAGAACAGGTCAGAGATGCAGTGCATCCGCATGAAACGCCGTTACCATACGTGTATGATGCCAGCATGTATCTAAGTATGGCCAGATTTCAAAGCCGTTTTCCAATAAATTGTACTGATAGTGAGAGTACAATACCACTGGAGCCTACTGTAGAGTGCAGTAGCAAGAGTACATACCCCCCCCCCAGAGTGTGCAATGCCTGATCCAGCTCTGCATAGGGTCTTCGTCGAGCGTAATCAGATCTTCTGATGTCATAATACCGTACACATCTGAGGGGAACCCGGGGAGTCGTGGGGATTCTCTGATCCAAAAATAACGGTGCCCTGCCTCGAGACTGGCCTTGCGCTGGTGTGGAGTGTACGCATGCCATCAGAAGATCCAACGACGCTCGACCAAGACCCTTTGCAGAGCTGGATCAGGCGTTGCACACTCTGGGGGGGGGGGGGGGGGGGGGGTTATGTACTCTTGGTAGTACAGTAGCCTGATGTAAAACTGTGCACATGCATGTGCACGTGTGTGTGTCGGTGTATGGCCTAGCTGCTATACATGAACACACACACACACACACACACACACACAGATGGCATGCAACAGTATATACGTGTGTGCTTGCATGTGTGGCGTACAATCAGGCACACACACCATGTACCATGTAATGTATACATGTACGCCCATCGCAAGAGAAGCACGCAAATCTGCAAGTGCACTGGATGTGCACCCACCGATTTTCTCTTACACACACCACACACACACACACACACATACACACACACACACACACACACACACACACACACACACACACACGGACCAACCTTGGTGGATGCATGCAGAACAGCATTGGCGGCATGTGTGTACTTGACAAGGTCACAACCATACTTCTTGCTGTTCTGTGTGTTCTTCTGCACGCCGCTCTGGCAATCATAAACTACAATAGAGTCGTCATCGCTACTCGAAATGAGCAGCTCCCCATTGGCTGAGTAGCTAAGAGAATTTACACGATCGTTGTTCTCTCTAAAAACCTTCGCAACGGTGAACGACCTCAACACCTCTTGCGTTAGCTTCATGCCTCACCGTCACACACACACGCTTTACTTTGTCATAAATTAAATCTGGATGAGGTTGGTATTATAGGAACGAGACTGAAATGGCCAAAAATACCCAGCACAGGTCAACCGCATGTACTAGTAGTATCGTAGAGGTGGAGGAGTGACCATTGAAATACCAAATCACTTCGGCGCTAGAACATCTACCAGGAAACCTTATACCGATACAGTCATGTATATCGCTTCTTGGCCAGAACAAAATACAAAAGCAGTTTCGTTACTGGCTGCAACAATTACAATAGCTAGCTTCGAGTATCCTCAATCCAAAAAATTGAAAATGATTATGTTCTTGATCTTGCCAAAAAAACATGACTGTGATGTAAAAATTATTTTTACAGGGAGTCGTCAAATATTTGACGACTCCCTGATTGTTTATTGAGAGAAACGCAAAAAAAGCAAAGCGTTGAATACAAAATCAATGAGAATCCACAGCGAATCTCTGGTTCATGGTTACACCACATGCACAGAGATCATCATGCATGACTTTGGTCTGGACTGTTTGAAAACTGTTTGGGAAGTGTACCAATTATTTTTTGGAAGTGCGCCAGCATAGACCTACGAAAGGTCGTGCGATCGTGGTACTGATGTGAGCTGTGTGCCCATGCCCCCCCCCCCCCATGGTGTCAGTGAGAAGACACAACACCCATTTCATGTAGGCCGGTACCTTAGAAGGAAGTGCTCTGTAGATATAAGGAATCAAATCTGGATATCACGTAAGTGATAATAATTATTATGTCTTAGATTTAGATTTTTCTGTGGAAAATATGTCAACTTAAATGAAATCATCGCAGCAGCAGGCTCGACAGTGTTCTTCTTTCATGTGATCTGGGAAGAGACTTTGTAGTAAAAAAAAGAGTGTTCATGCATCTCAATTCTCATCATGCTACACAACCACATCCACTGCCAATCGGCACTGCAAAAAAACGAATTGAATGAATTGAAGTCTGAAGAGAGTATTGAACAGGCCATCAAATAGGCCGTCAAATTATGTTATTTTATAATGAGACTTATCTCGTAACAAGAGTTGTATCTAAAGATGCAAGAAACACTGATTCACACTCGCATGAGACACCCTCAATACAACAATGTCATAAAAATATTTAAAAAAACTTCTCACCATAAAATAATTGACGAATCGCCGACACGGCTGTTCTTTGCATGCAAAAGGTCCAATATTATGTTGTGTCTTTCTTCTTGATAATCTGGCCTGATCTTGTTCCTGCATGGACCATATTATCATACTAGGGGTGTGGGTCACCAGGGACATGGACTGACGGTCATACTAACGAACTAGTTTTTGTACCAACAGATAATGCTGTGACCGGATCGGTAAACAAGTGTATAGACCACGCTTCGTCGAGGGTTTCAGATTGTACTACTAAAAGAGGCTTAATATATACACCGACCGGACTCATTATAATGAGGGAGGACCAGTACATGGAAGTTCACTGAAGATCTTCCCCATCTGCCTCTCGTTTGAGGGCCGCTCATTTTCTAAGGAATTAATTTTGTATAGGACTGACTGTGCATGCGTGCCTTTTAACATCCCTGCGCAAGGTTAGGATTGACATACCAGAGGTCTGCTTTATAATTCTTGGTCCCCATGGCCCCAGTTCAAAAAGAAATTAGGGATGAAAGTTGGCACTGAGATCCCGAGTTCGAGTACTCTGATTTTCTCCGATCGAATATTCGAGTATTCGAGTATTCTTGATAGCCTAAAAATCACACACCAACCGCCTCAAAAATCACATGATACAACCCTGATTGAACAGATTGGCAGTTCTTTTCTCGGGTGTATTGGTTGGTGGGTCATTTGGGCTCTCTCTAATCGTGTACACAAATGCTCACCACACACTCTGTACATCAATATCTGCTGACTGCTGCTCTGAAACTGCAGACTTCTGTAGTAAATGCATGTACCATGTATGAGCGTGTACTCTGATTTATTCCGAGTACGATTATATTTGAAAATTCCAAACGAGTATTCGAATATTCGGTATAATTGTTTCACCCCTAAAAGAAATGAAACTAAAACCGCCCGCCTTGATTTTTTTGCGAAAATGATGACATTGTGTATGTTTGACCGTTTGTGCTGTTGCTCCAATGCAGAATGGCTTTCGCATGCTGTAGGCTGCCCATGCTGCCAGCGGGTAGAGTAATGCGGCCGGCCTCCATTCTCCCTGTGACCAACTGCCGATCATACTCTGCCCTGTCTAATGCCAGACTGCCACAGGCAGTTGGCAACACTTGCCGCCGTACCTCGGCGTGCCCGACATCCTCATCGCCACAAACTGGGCCTGTGTCGCTGGTGCAATCCAGGTTTGCCAGCAGCTCATCTTTATTGGATTGGTTTGTAGACTGGCGCAAGGAAAGAGAGGAGCAGCAAGCCGAGAAAGCAAAGTTCAGGAAATTTGCGTACGTTTCGGTTGGTGTCGCTGTCGTTATTGTCGTTGGAGGTGTGTCGTTTGAGTTATAGTCATTGTTACTGTTGCTGTTAAGGGTTGGTTCACATATCGCCGGTCGGGAGTCACCGGCGCTGAGCCTCTTGCAACCACTCCCGGCGCATTGCGAGTATGTGAACCAGTGCAGTCGTAACAAAATCATACGGTAAAATGTCGCAAGGGACAGCCAGCAAAGTTGGGCAGTGCCCAACTCTTGCGATCTGCCCCGGCCAGTGTTTTCTGTACATAATGAGTGATCTCTTCTCTCGTGCATATTAGGGGAATTACCTTTTTGTGCTTTTATGTTGTTACTCCAGGATGAAGGACTTGATCGCCTCAGGTCCTGGAGATTTGGCCCGTAAGTCAACGCCTGACCCTGGTGCATTTGCCTACATGCTTAGTTGGTGTAGTGGAATGATGGCAAAGCCCCTGTGACCCAACCCAAGCAGCCACACCACCAAGACGTTTTATTTAGCTTACATTTGTCTACAAGGAAAAAAAGAGAACTGAAAAAAAGCCATGATCTCGGAACTACTCGTAGTAGTAGTAGTACTGCTTGACCTAAACCGGAACTAAATCGTACCCGCACGGTACGCAGCGCAGACTGCACGTACAGCAGAACATAACCATGATAACGCGACGCAGCTTGGAAAGCCAGCTAGCTAGCTATGTATGAAACAACAGACCGCAAGCATGACAGCGGGAAATGCAAAGGCCAGTCGGCAACAGTACACAATGACGATTTATGCTATTGGGTATCATTCATGGCTAGACCTAACACTGTATGCACGTGACATGTCGCCAAGTTATTGTTCTAACCAGAGGAGTAATTGTCACCTTCAGCAGCATGGATCTAAGAGTAAGACTAAGACTGTATTCATCATCACACCTCCACCAGGTGACAAGTCTCTTTACGAGCAAGGACCGGAATACACTCGAAACGCTGTGAAAGGAAAAACCTATAGCATTTAGGAAACAACCTAGAATAATAGAACCACAGAACAAATGAACTACTGCACACCATCAGCTCCACACTCACGGAGCATACCTCCTTGGGGCTCTCAATGTATCTCGATTCCGGAGGCTTCGTCCAACTGGCTGATCATCTTCAGCAATCGGCAGGTCAAAGGCAATGGGCAGTTCGCCATTGCTGCTAGAACTGGCCTCCACCTGGTCGACTTCCGTTGACTCTGACTCAGCCTCGCCTGGATCCATCTTCAACAGATCAACATTCACGATCTTCGTGCCACCGCGACCGTGCGCAACGACGACCGTTGAGGATGCCACCACTGCCTCGACCACCCAACCACGCTCGTAGGGAGGCTGGCGCTTCTGCCGTCGGTCCTGGCGTCGCAACAGTACTGGATCTCCGGGCTGATAGGGACAGGCGACACGAGATCTCGATTCATCGATGGAGTCAGCTTGCGATAACTGGCCGTCTAAATAATCCCACACCCGGGCCGTCTGCATCTTCAGCTTGTCCACCCAAGCGCTCTCAGATAGCTCGCTGCCGGACTTCTCCACCACCAGGCGCTTCGGCTTCCAGCCATACATCGCCTCGGCCGGGCTGATTCGAGTGACACTATGCGGGCGTACACGGTACTTGAATAGCAGCAGATCAAGAGCCGCTTTCCAATCATCCTCTTCCTCCAACACCTTCCGAATCAAAGTGAGGAGCGTACGATTGAACCTCTCTACCGTGCCTTGACTCTGCGGGTGACGAACTGCACCATGCTGCACTCGAACTCCAAACGCCGCAAACAAAGCCGACATGATAGCGTTGACAAACTCGGTGCCGTTGTCGCAGCGCACAATCTCTGGTGGGCCCCACCGGGCACAGATGGACAGAAAGGCATCAGCAACACTTCGTGCATCGTGCCGGGGCAACGGAACGACTTCAGTCCATTTGGTAAATGCGTCCACACACACCAGGACGCAGTGGAACCTGCCATCACGACTGCCGCCGAGCTCCATGGTGTCGATGAACACGGTGTTCCACGGACCAGATGGCATGGCAGACCTCGTAGCTGGAACACTCTCGCCACGCTGCGGACTGGCAACAGCACAGGCCTGACACTTGCCAACAAAGTCCTGGCACTTTGCTGCCATTGAGGGAAAGAAGCACCGGCATTGCAGAAACCGCCAGGTTCCCTCCCAACCGGCGTGTCCAGTCTGAAGATGGGCTGCGCGCAACACTCTCTCCTCCAGAGACTCTGGGACTACTGGAACGACTTCTTCTTCACCAGTCGGCACCTTGAAGCTCCTCATCAGGACACCGTCGGCAACACAGAGTTGATTCTGGATCTTCTTGTAGCCAGCAGCGACAACTTCCTGTTCAGCTGTCTTCGCTGCAATCACCGCTGTGATGGCCGCATCACTTTCCTGTTCGCTGGCTATCTCTTGGAGCGACACAGGGCCAAGAGCAGATGGATTGATGCAGGCACCAGACACGCCGACGTCAAACTCGCCGACGCCTGACTGACCTTTCCAGTACTGGACGAGCTTCTCAGGAACTCTAGTCAGCTCGTCTGCCTTGTTGCTGGCAGATGGAACCCACTCCAGATCAACGCTGAGGTCAGCCGCTTTGATCAAGTCATCGATGATTTGGAGTCGCCGGTGAACCACCACCTTGTTCAGCCCACTGACTTTGATTCGCTTCAAGTGGCCGAAAAGCGAGCTCAGCCAGCCATGAACGGTCTTGGAGTCGGTCAAGACCTTCACCTTGCGCACATTCCACTCAACCGCCAAACTCAGGCCCTTGATGACCGCCTCGAGCTCTGATAGGTTGATGTGGCGAGTGTCGTTCTTCAGTCTCAGCCAGCATTGGTCCTCTACCACTCGGCCGTCGACTTCCAGGGCCACGCCATAGGCGATACTCGAGGCATCACACCAGATCTTCCAGGAGTGTTCCTCGCCGCTTGGAACGCTCCAAGCACCATGAACTGGGTCTTCCTTCAGCACCCGAGCCATGACGTCACGACACAACACCTGCAACTCTTCTGGAACCGGCTCATCCCATGCATCAGTCAGACAGGCCAAACGACGGAGCCAGCTTGACATCGGCCGCAGCCAGCGACACACAGGATAATGCGCCGTCAGGGCGCCACACCAGCGAAAGATGCTACGCTTCGTCAGCACAGCAGGAATATCAATGGATGTCGGGTCACGACGATCCCATCGCAGCTGGTCTCCCTCAGCATCAATCTTCAGGCCAAGCACGCACGCCTCCTCAAGCTTCACAGGCGGCTTCGTTGGTAGACCATACCGTTGCAGAGAGGCAGCCAGCTCCTTGGTCTGATGGCGTGGTGTCAGGATGTCATCCACATAGTTGTCAGTTGCCGGAAAGTCCTTCGTAACCCACCGGACAATAGCATCCATGACTTTTGGTGCGATTGAAAGGCCGAACCCCATGCGCTGCATGACAAACTTCTGACCTTTCCAAGCCACCACCTGAAACCGCTGCAAGGCAGGCTGTACACGCACGTTCAGGAAGGCCTTCCGAATATCCAGGATATCCATAGCATCGCCGCACTGGCGCCATTTCCGAAGCTTCTCTTCACATGCTGGTGCATCCAGGCCCGGATGAGACACAATGAGACTGTTCAGCGCGCGATAATCCAGACAGGGGCGGACCGGAGTGGACACTTTGTGCTCTTGACACACTGCCAGCAGAGGCAAAACACCGCCAATCTCGCCGTGCGAGCCTTCGTCATAAGGAACTAGCCATCCTTGATCAATCCAGTTTTGGACCTCGGTGACGAACTTCACCTCCTGATCATCCGATAATCCTTGGCGGGAATACTCGCCGATGCCTGTACCGATAGGTGAACTTGGAGCAGCTCCGTCGCACCATTTCCAAGTGACTTCCCAGAAGCCTTTCTCGGGGTCGAACATCACTTCACAGTCACTCATCTCCAACGTGACCTTGTCTCCATCCTGTCGGACCTGAACGTGGCGTGGCAAGTGCTCTTCATTGCTGATCTTACTCTCGACTGCAGCCACGACTGGCCTCGTTCCGAACACAGCACCAGTTAGCTGGCCGTCACTCTCTGAATACTCCAGAGCAACACCACCGGCCGATGAGATCACATCAAGACCAATCAGCATGTCAGAGCGAACCACGTCCAGAGAATCAACTACCAGAAACTTGGCCTTGATTTTCGGCAGGTACACATTGTTGTCATCACGGGAGACAGTCAGCTCCACAGTGCCAGTGATATCGAGTGAGTTGCCGTTAATAGCCGTGATCATGTCCTCACCCGACGGCTTGCAGACAGGCACAGACAGTGTACGCACCGCAGCAGAAGACACTAGGGAGCGACTCGAGCAAGAGTCAATGGCTGCCTTCAGCCTGGTCTGCTCTCCATTGACCGACACGAAGACTTTCGGCAGGCCACCACGACGCCTGGCAACGAGGGCAAGACATGCATCATCTTCGCACTCTGCAGCAGCGACATCTGGTGATACTGCAAATGCATTGGCACCTGCACCAGGAGTCCTGCCACTCACTTGTCCTTCGGATTTGGCCTCAGGACAGTGCCTCTTGATGTGACCAAATCGCTTACATCTGAAACACTGCACCTTCTTCTTCTTGGGGCAGTCCCTCCTCAGGTGGCCAGTTTCTCCGCACAGGTAGCATACTCTGCTGTCTCCTGGCTCAGGTCCTACGGCAGACGCGCTGACACCAGGCTCATCCGCCACTGCAAGGAGAGCACGTGCTTGCTTCGTCAGCTGTGTCATCGTGGGATCCCCACTAGCCGCCGCACTGAGGCGCAGCTGATTTGCAAATCGACGAGGCAGACCTGACAAGAACTGCTCGACGAGCACCGGGTCTTTTCCATCTGCTGCTTCCTTGTGGCCACTACGCGTCAACAAAAGGCGCAAGTCAGATGCATAAACATCAACAGTTTCATCTTCCCGCTTCCGACGTCGCACAAACTGGGAGTACGCCTCCCTTGACGAGCAGGCGAACGACTCCTCAAGCCGTGCCTTCACCTTATCCTCGTCCTCCTGATCCGCAGTAGCCATTTGTCTCCACACCGTAAAGGCATCGCCAGATAGATACAGAGGCACATGCGCCATTCGCTCCTTGCCTGTGCTCCATTTCTGAATTTTTCCCACGACCTGGAACTTCTGCCAGAACTCTTCCAAGTCCTCCTGGCCACTAAATGCGCGCAACGCGCCTTCTGCTTTCGCCATCCTTAGTTCCTCCCCGCAGTCCCGGGTTTCGGCACCAGAAACTGTAGTGGAATGATGGCAAAGCCCCTGTGACCCAACCCAAGCAGCCACACCACCAAGACGTTTTATTTAGCTTACATTTGTCTACAAGGAAAAAAAGAGAACTGAAAAAAAGCCATGATCTCGGAACTACTCGTAGTAGTAGTAGTAGACCCAGGTGCTCGAAGTCCGTACACGTTTACAGTGTGTGTTTGCCGAGCTGAAACTCACACTAGCAATGATCACTTGCCAGAATCCTGCTCGTGGATGGAAGGTATCTTGTCCAAGTTTGTTTTGAGGCCAGGCTCGATTGAACCAGGCCATCTTTCGATCCGATCTGTTTCTCTGGAGTTCGCTCATTTTTCATATCAAAATTTGGTGTCGCAGAGGGTACTCTAAGTCCGTACTGATCAGAGGTGACTCGAAATACACACATATTTCTGCTAATTGCTAACTTGCAATCCCTCGGTTACGACGAAAGCACCGAAGGAATATGTTTGGCATGTGCCTCCACCGGTATTTCTTGCAAAAGCGTAGTTTGTTGCCGAAATGCAAGCTGTTTTAGTCGGCTCAGAGAAGAAGCAGCTGCGCTGTGAAAACCGCGGGAAAACAGTGGTGGAGATGCCAGGAGTGTCAACCTTTCTGCAAGGATTGGTGGTTCTCTGTAAATTCTTCTCCTCTGGCCATTGTCAGCTCTAACCTGGCTCTTGATGATTGAGTGAAGGTCTGTTTGACGCTGTGTCCGTTCGAAATCGGTCTTGGCAAAGTTGATTTTTGCATGAAATGTAACCCAATTTGTATTTCGTATGGACACTCGAAAACCCACTCCCGTGGTATGGGACTTCTGCTGATCGTAGATCCCTGAAAAATGGTCCGCGAGGAGAACATACCACACTGTCCCCTCCATAAAATATTTGAGTCGAATACAATAACAGAACATGAAATTATGGGCGTACGAACTTAGGATACCATGTACGGACTTCGAGCACCTGGGTCTACTGCTTGACCTAAACCGGAACTAAATCGTACCCGCACGGTACGCAGCGCAGACTGCACGTACAGCAGAACATAACCATGATAACGCGACGCAGCTTGGAAAGCCAGCTAGCTAGCTATGTATGAAACAACAGACCGCAAGCATGACAGCGGGAAATGCAAAGGCCAGTCGGCAACAGTACACAATGACGATTTATGCTATTGGGTATCATTCATGGCTAGACCTAACACTGTATGCACGTGACATGTCGCCAAGTTATTGTTCTAACCAGAGGAGTAATTGTCACCTTCAGCAGCATGGATCTAAGAGTAAGACTAAGACTGTATTCATCATCATTGGACTTCCCTACATGCTTACCGGTAGTTGTACTTGCCTACATGCTTAGTTGTACCTACCTACAAGTACATGCTTAGTTGAACTTGCCTACGTACGTGCGCGTAAGATGGTGTCTGTTGTGATCTTTCTCCTGGGTTTGTTCGCTTGTGAACACGCATGTGAACCCTGCTAAGTGACGTGTGATCGTGGTACTTGCAAGTATGTTAACGTGTTCTGAAATCTGTGTTTCTACTGTAGAGCTGAGAGCAACCAAGGGCAAACCCCTGGAAGCACCTAACGAAGCCACGCCGTTGGAAGTATGTCATTAGTATACTCACTTGAAGACCCTTGAAATCCTCTGCAAGTCTTCAGAGATAACATTGAGTGGTTGAAGCACATGAACTCAGTGAATGCTGCCATGTACAGGTATTCGATATGATACTCGCCCAAACCATCATTTTCTCTGGTGCACTCATAGCATGCCCTCTACCTACTACTACAACAAGTGGAGTACTCTCGTCATGTCGTAACTGCACTGAATTACTACGACCGTGCACTCATAGCTCTCTTATCCAGGCAGTCCGGGACCGGGCACTGTCCGTACACTTGGAATGTCTGTAACTCTGAATCGCGTACGTTTTGATGGGGAAGCGCCAAAGATGCAGCGTGATATTATATACAGTAAAACATGTAATGGCGACCACTCGGATATGGCGACCACTCGACCATGGCGACCCCTTTTCCTTGTCGCGGACGCATTCACATTCAAAACAGCTCGGATAAGGCGACCACTCGCTGAACGCGACCAACGACCACCCTCCCACGACCACGTTGCGCCCCTACTACCAAGAGTAGATTTTCTGAGTGTATCTACTCTTGCTACTACTACTACTACTACTACTACTACTACTACTACTACTACTACTACTACTACTACTACTACTACTACTACTACTACTACTACTACTACTACTACTACGGGCAAAAAGAAATAGACCGTGAAATTAATAGTGATGAAAAACAACAACGAAAGGAACTAGACTAGTGTCATGTACATGCACTGTGCACCACCCATGGTAGATCTATACATCAGCGCAGGAAATGTAGATATAGATGTACATGGTGCATGCACGACACTTGACAGGTCTGAGGCCCCCGCTGGGCCCCAGGCACATGAATCGTGATAGTAGCATAGGTGTGTGCAGTGTGATGCACTGATCAAAATGATATTGTCGCATTTACATGTATAGTGAATTATGTTCACATGACCCACTGAACCTGAATAAGAAGACCACTTTTTCTCGTCCCTTGAGCGGTCGCCTTAGACAGGTTTCACTGTATACATTATGATGTCACTATTTCTACAAAATGGCAAAAATTCACGGTTCGCTTGAGACTCGGTTAGACTGAGTTTTCAGCATCCTTAGGAACGCCACCGCCCTGAAAAATCTAAGGCGCAGATGCAGCTCCTAAAGCGGTGGGAGGTGAGTAGATCAGCCCACCAGCAAAGTGGTCAAAGACCGAAAATCCCATTCGCTGCATCCATGTTTCCCTCGTGCCAGGCCACGAGTTCCCAATTAACTGTGGGTCGCAGCACGGCTAGGAAAATCCTTCCGCTTCCAAGCAGGACTTGAACCTGGTACCCTCTGTTTCTCAACCATGGTCTTAGACCATCCCACTATGCCTGGCAAAAGAACTGCACTATTTCCACATAAACTCACCCACAGGGTGCCCGATAGACCGAGTTGCTCGTGGCTTCGAGGTCCGGATAAGAGAGATATGTGTATACTTCGAAGTAGTGTGGTCTGAGGTGCGATCATTCGTTTTGCTAGGGATTCATGTTGCTGCTCTACCCCCTCTGTCTGTTGGCTTGTTGCAGAACTCTCCAATGTTTCCGTTGTCCCGCGGTCATGACTGCTTTAACAACCGTGTTCGCATGCACGAGCTTCTGAAGGGCCAAGTGTGCGTGATCATAGTGACGTTCAGGAATTTTGCGTGGGTGAGTGAGCACTGGGCGTAAGCTGCATGTCGTCTGACTCTATAGCTATTTGCTGTTGTGTATAAGTTGCGATGGGTAGTGACAGTTTCTTGTCACCAATCGTACTTTGATCTGTTTATTGTCAAGTTTTACATGAGCGGTGTGTGTCTTGTGAAGAAGAAATCAACACACTTGGGTAAGGATAACGGTCTCATACTCTCATACTTTGTGGAAATCAAGTCAATGAGTATATAACTATATACACGAGAATTATTCCGGCTCAACTTGCAACCTGCCGGTAGACTACTACATGTACTTGGAAGTTTCGTGCATGTGAGGAGTTCTCAAAATCCAGTAAACCTGTACGTTTTAGGCAACTCATTGCTGTATTTTATTATTGCTTTTCCTGCCGTTAGAGATTTGTTCCGTATTACATGGATCACCTGGAGCAGAAATGTGGTGACAATATGAAGAAGATCAAGATCATCAATGTAAGCATGACTTAGAGCACCATCATATACATTGCTGTGTGCGCCTTTGTAGGATGTGCTTTGTTGTGTTGCAAAGCGTGTAGTATGGCAGTTCATACTCTATTGCAAAATACATGTTTTCAGTGTAGATGTTCATGGTGAGTGGCGTCCTCTCCCTGCACTCCGCAGTTCGTGTCTTTAGCTCTGAGACTCTCTGGTCCTGATACTAGTCTCGCGTTCTTGTGTGCACGCATGCAGCTGTATGGCTTTGAGAAGCCCGTCTACCATATCGTCAAGCCAATGATGAAGTTCTTTATGCGCAGGAGAACGCCACCGGAGAAGAAAGTAAGTCGACGGCAGGAGTCCTTCCATGATGCCATCATTGCACTGAACGAGCGACATGATGTTCTGTAGTACATGTAACATGTACATGTCGCCCTTCTTGTATTAATATGTAGTGCCAATACACTCACATCTCTCTTATTCGGGCAGTTAGTTTGGAGCATGCGGCCCACATAACTCGTAACACGCACACCTTGATATTCACAGGGAGCACATTTAAAATATGCTCAAGACAGCCCCACTCATTCTCTGTGAACCGTGGTGAACTGAGACAGAGAAGAAAGAAATGTTACCAGTACAGGCATGACAAAATTCCCCGGACACATCCATGCTGGCCTAGTAATATTAGTTGCCATAGCTGATCAACCCAGAACTTCCAGTTAGAATTGGCTGCCGTTGTCTGATTGGTTTCATCTCATCAACGTATCTGTGTATTCTAATATAAAATTCCTGTCCTCCTTTTTGATTTCATGTATTGCAATTGCAGGAAACGACCGTGTTTCTGACTAGGCGCTCCACCCTTCACTTCCGATTTATAACTGGCGTGAGTAGCACTTGACAGTATATCAGGAGTTGCACATGCTGTGATCATTGATTGTGCACCTGCTGGTCCTGCTCGTGATTTTGAGAACGGGAGCGTGCTTGTTCTTGGTCCTGGTTCAACAGGGCCTGTGTTGGGGTATTGGTTGGCTTTTCTGTTGCTGTGTTGATACTGGAACTCACCTGGTAGTCTGGTTTCTTTCTTGTTCCCTCAGTCTCGCTTGCCGTTGTCTGTGGTTTGTATGCCTTGGTGTAGGTTTCCAACTGTATTCCCGCCTGGGTTTTAGTGATCGACCACATGGGACGGCTACGCTGGAAGGCAGTGGGCAAGCCATTGGAACGCGAGCTGCATGCCCTGACGAATATTATTGACACTCTGGTGAAGGAAGCAGAAGAAGCTAAGCCCAGTATGAAAAAGACAAACGCTACAAAGCGCTCTTGGGCTTCACTTGACAAAGAGTTATAGCCTAACTGCTGTGTAGTCGTCTGCACGTTCAACGCATTTTTTCTGGTGCTGAAAGAGTTCCATGGTGGGCTTGCTTCCGACATGTGTCGCAACTCATCTCTCATTCCCATACCATGGAGCATGACTGATTGTGGTAGCTATGTCGCAGCTTGCTCATGTAGCAGAAAGGCCATCATTGCCCGAACACTTCCAACGCTCTCGGGTAGATTGCAATGATCCGCTGCCAAGACGTCAGAGGCAGTGGCAACGGGGCAAACCTACACGTACTGGGACGCTCTGATCTGCATACCAGTGCTCTCCCATATGCTTTAGCTTCTAACGCTGAACCATCATCAACCTCATATCAAAAGTACCCGTCAGTATGACACGCTCTACTCCGAAGTACATGATTGTACATGTAGTCTCAATACGTTCTCTACTGCAATCAGCCAATGTAGTCTAGCCAACTACACATGCAGCAGCGTGCCTTCAAGCGTCTGGAAAGGAGACCACACACACACGCACATCAATACAGTACAATCATATTCTGGATAGTCAATATTCACTCAATTTCACCATTTCTCCTTTCCTAGCATTCGTATTATATGTTCTATTAGAATCTTTCATATTTCATCATAATCATACTTCATTAGTTCGAGGGACTTATGACAATGATTAAAAGTGATTAAAAATTGAAAATACTATATAATTTTTTGAAATGATTGACCGATTGGGAGAACTTCAAATTCAAAGGATTCAAAATAGTAGCAGTTATGTTGTGAAGTGGTGAATGTCATGCATGTTTTAAAGTGATTTTCTAAATTCCTTCTTTTAAATATATCATCGAGAGACAGCTACATAATTCTAACAACTCAACAGACAGTTCTCTGACTATTAAAAACAAAAGATTATAAGTAGTCAGCAGGATATGAGAAGTAACGCCAGCGGTCACCTTGCTACCAGAGTAGGGCAAGGCAGTTTTTATGCGTCTCCTAACTACCTACAGACTATGACCTGCCAGTCTGTTACCATGATACATATACTTCATGTACTATGACGTTAGGCCATGAGCGGTGATAGCTGCATTCCGTAGCACTCAAGATGAAGTACACGTGTTTAGTATACACATGATAAAAGTAGTAAACAAAATGGCTCAGTGCATCCATCATACTGAATGGTATGTGTGTGTTGTTTGGCTTCAGAGCAGTAAATACTGTAGTACCACTCCAGGTGTTCATGATGACGTTCTTGTTGTAGCTGATATTGGTAGATTGCAGCACCATACCATACATTAATGGCAACAAACACGAGACACAATATTTCCGTGAATGGCAGGGACTGACAACAACCATGACTTCAAGAAGTGCCGGGACTGGTACCTGTCAGCATTCAGGCATGCAAGGGAACAGTGATTTTCAGTGTCAATGAGATTCAGTCCCGTTCCCAAACTGCCATGTGAAAGACGCAAGGCCATGGCCATGGGTGTTGCTGGGGGCGAGTTCTGTTAGCGGTCAAGCAAAGCCACCCTGAAAGCATCAAGCCAACGATTTCATCATTTCAATCAACCTGTCCACGGTGTTGACTGATTGAGTGTCTGACAAGATCTTATAGCAAAGTCTAAGAACGGCCAGGAGAGAAGCATCATTCGACAAGTCGGGAATAGGAGCAGCTCCAATCACACGACGGGTGGCCTCACACGCACCAAACCCGACAGCGTCTAACCAGAACTGCGAAATGGCATCCTCGGCAACTCCATCAGCAAAGAAGCGCGACCTGTAGGTGTCCCACACACGTCTTGTGGCTTCCTCCAGAGTTGCAAGGAGGCTACCGTCAACGTCTGGATTACAATGCTTGTGAGCCAACCAGGACACGCAGAATTGGATAGTATACATCCCAATCTCAAATGCCGCTGGACCAATGCATGCAAACTCGACGTCAAAGAGTCGCGCCTCGCTGCCGCACACCATGATGGAGCCACTGTGAAGGTCGCCGTGCAGCAAGCACTCACGGTTCTCCAAGAACTTGCGCGTCAGATCAGCGACATTGCGCTTCACGGCCGCACTGGAGCGCATCTCCTGCGACAGCGCTTTGACTACGTCCGGTGACTTGTTTGTCGGGTCCTCAGCATCGTACGGTCTCACAAACACGTACTGTCGCGTGATGTCCACCATATCGGCGTTGGAGAAGTTGTCGCACAAATCTTCCCAGTCACGGCTGCCAGTGGAGAGCTTGTGGCTCTTGGAATGGATGGCGGCTGCAAACTTGGCCACAGCGCAGGCAGCATCCACATTCACAATGCCTGAGATGATCTGAGAGCGCATCACTACATACGATCCCAAGTCTTCCATGATCATGAGCGAGCGTTCTTGATCGAAGTAGTACGGCCGTGGACAAGATCCTGGCATGATCTCGTGAAAACGCTGTAGAGCATGGTACTCTACCTGCAGTCGAGCCTGCGTTAGGGCGTATTTTGGACCCAAACATTTAATGTATGCAGGTGCCTGCTTCACCACCACACTGCACGGTCTCCCATCCAGTATCCACTTCGCTCTGTAGACAAAATTCAAATTGCCGTCGCCGATCTCCTGGATTTCTGCTCCATCACGAGTGAAGCCATTCAGCTGCTCCACAGTTCCTGCTAAAGTAGCTAACGTGTCCAGCACAGCATTGGATTCCATTACTAACACCTCGAACCTCGAAGCAAAAGAACGGCAAGAACTGTCTGACAAACTCTGGAAGGAGGGGCACAGAACGAATGCAGGTGAAACAAATGAACTGAAGTCATGACCATCTCTTTTGACTTCACTTTTCTTGTCTTGATCAAGCTGTCTCGCCTTGCACCTGTCTTGCATCTTGCAAGCTTGGCGGATGCACCACGTGGCGCATGGATCATGTGATGCGCATATATGCATCCACTTCGCGTGGCTGTGGCCGCGATGGCGCCGTGGTCTCCACGGAGATCGTGTTTTCCAGCTGCCGACTCGACTTGGCGCGAAATTTGACTGGGTTGACATGATGCACGAAATCAGCTGAGTCAGATCAGGGACTGGGAGCTCGAGCAGAGGGAGCTCCGGAGCTGAGTGAGGAGGCAGATCGTGTGCATGGAGTAGAGTTCGAGTTTGCCATATGGCTGAGTGACTTATTCTTCTCCTCTCCTTGCTTGAAGTCAACAAAGGAAAAGTCTAAAGAATTGGGTAGCTGTGTAATCTCACGTTTTGTCGCATCAAGTATGGACGCGGAGTCGTTACTTTCGCCTCGTAATCCCCATCGTTCTGTCCACATTCGTAAAAAGCGAAAATCAACATCGTGTCAACCTCTCCAGCCGTCATCGAAGGAGAACATTCCCCCGTATCTTCACAATGCTGTGCAAAAGAAACGAAAGGTGCCTGATTCCGTAAGTCTAACTTTTCAGCTTGCACTGATAGTCTGATTTGACGTCGTCTCAGATCATACTTCGGTTGTAAAGAATTACAGTATTTGAATGTTTCTGTTGCCTGTGACCACGTGTCTACTTTTGACTGAAGGCATTGTACACGTACGTAATGGTTGAGTTGTTCATAGCTCCTGGCTTGCTTTGGCAGTCGAATCCTGACACGAAGTAAAGCCCGTAAAAGTGATCCCCAACTGAGATTGGAGGTTGAGTATTCTTCCCATTTTTGATATTCCTCCTCAACTACTCTGTACTGCACATACCGGTAACAACAAAGATTCATAACCCCTGGGGGTTGTGTGGGGTTATGTACTCTTGATAACAAATATCTGTTGTTCAGCATGCACAAGTACTTCGAAGTTGCAAGAGTACACGAATACGATTACTAAGCAAAGGTGCATTGACTATACTGTTGGAAGTACCCAATGCTGTAGACAGCAAGCTGTTTCGGCCACATAGGCCTCATCATCAGTACAGCTACAAAGGAGGCACCACAGACATTAACATAACTCGTTGCTCTAGCACCAGAGTGCTCTGACTACTGAAAGTAACGAGTGATGCGTAACGCAGCAGCTCTAGGGCAGCCTACCGAGAGTGCTCAACAAGACAAATGTTGAGGAGCGTAATACAAGATTGAAGAAGGATCTTGACAATTATACTAAATTTTGCTAGTGTCAGTAGTCGTCCGCAATTCATCCTAATGTGTAAAAAAAAACATCTTTATGCGGTATGTGAAAACCCCAAGGCAAAGTTACGGGGTATACACGTGCTGGTGGATGAAATTCGACCACGTTGGTCAAGTGAGCGACGGGCGCTGTGCAGCCCTAGACCTGCGAACACTGGGACGTTCACTGGTGCAGGGTGCAAAGCTGACTCGCTTGATCGGATTGCATCCACCGGTACTGTAGTAACAATTTTTCACTTCATGTAACAACAATGTCTCCTGCCCCCTTGGCCTCCGTTGTGTGTTGCAGGGCCTGTCTGAAAGAAGCATTCTAGCACGTTCACCACTGGACTCCATCACCAATGTAAGCGGACGTCTGTGTTAGGAAATCTGCTTGCCTGTATTTGCATTGGAAATGCTGACTATATTTGCTGGTCATGGGACATGCATGCACACCTGCTGGCCTGAACGACGAAATGGATGTTGTGCAGGTAGCTCTACGCCTGCTGTTGTGCTGCTTTTAGATCTTAGAAACACCTGTTTCGTCTGGGAAAATGTGTACGGTTGTCATCGCAATGACATTGTGCGCACGGTCCATAGAAGTATACTTTTATGGAAGACATGCCAGAAGAATCATCCACATTTGTAGCATTTGATGGTGACCATATTTCTGATACGGATGAAATGTGCTGTGCCTGGGCGCATGGTTTAGTGCATGTGGTCTTTTCACGTATTTGATGCAGCTGGCACATGGCCGGTTCCCATTGGTCACTGTACCGCGAAGTGTTGGATTTGAAATGGATACCGTGTACATGTACCAGGAAGACACCCCAGTGTGGTCCGAAGCAAATGGCCACAAGCCATTGCCAACTCTGAATGCACATACTTGAGGCGAGAGTTTGCAGCTAGCAATTATGGGTAGCTGTCACGATTCATGTTCAGAGTGACGTCCTTTTTCCATGATTTTATCCGCTCGCTCTATGTATGCATTCATGACTCAAGGTCAACCGTGCGTAATGCTCTTTTATGCAAGTCAAGTGCTGTACATTATGAGAATGACGTAGCGCTGGCGGCGAAAGTTTATGTGTGGAGTTGCACGTCCTGGAAAGGTGTGTACTCGTGCTTCAAGTGACCATTCCTGGTGCATCGCACATCTGCATGGACATTCTAAGTGATTTGTAGTGTGTAGTGGTATCTCTGTTTGTTTTTCTGTTCTATTTTAGGAGGCTCGCGTGCAGCCGGTTGCTGGTGTGTCACATGCAACCTTGCCGCAAGATTGGAGCCTTAAGAATAGTGTTCGCTTTACATCTACCAGCTCTTTTGCGTGGGCGGACATGGTGAAGAGCGGACGGAGCAATGAAACTGCGGCCGGTCTCACAGATTTTGTTCGGCACTCTCACGCAGAGGAGACAGTGCCCGAAATCGTTTCCGTTGACGAGGTAAGCTGGTTTCTAATGGTTGCCCAGGTTGCTTCCTTTTTGTCTACTCCTTTTTTTATCTGTTTCACCGAGTCAGTCATTTCTTGACTTAGCACCCGACCAGCTTGTCTGGTCAAGGCCAATGGAAACAATAGACCAATAGTTTTGGGCGAAACTGAAGAGGAAACGAGGCAGCAGAACATTGCCGTTTGTGGTAGTCTGCATGCACATCGTGGAGCCACTTCGCATGCAATGTACACACCATTTTGTGGACTCCCCCACCCCGCCCTCGCCAAACAAGACGATCTTTATGGGCTCGGTGTATTGCTTATGCGATTGTGATTTTAACTGCAGTTGTCTATGCCCCGATTGGATTAGTTTAACTGCATTTGTGTATGCCCCGATTGGATTAGTTTAACTGCATTTGTGTATGCCCCGATTGGATTAGTTTAACTGCATTTGTGTATGCCCCGATTGGATTAGTTTTGTCCCTTTATGGCTTGTGTGTGCTTCAGGCGAGCTCCGACCTCCGTCGGACCATTCAACGGCACACGATGCTCTGGATGCACCCTTCGTTGCCTTGGCTACAGCTCTTTCCGCGCACCCTGCTTGACGGCAAGATTTCCGGCCAGGCTGCATCGCCGTTGTCTGTGTCGATGCTGCTACAACCGGTGATGCAGACAGCGCTGCAAGATGCCTGGTGAGACTAGCGCACACACACACACACACACACACACACACACACACACACACACACACACACACAGAAGAGAGAGAGAGGGTGGGGGGGGGGGGGGGGGGGGTGCATGTTGCAGGTCTTTTTATTGAAAAAATGGGTGGCTGGTAAGGGGAGATTGTACCGGGTAGATTTGTGTTGTCGCTTAGTTCTCGTTGACACGTACCGGTATGTGAAGCAGGGCTGTTTTTTGTTCTCTGTGCATCTACTCTAGGCTGGAAAGCTTTACATCAACGTATCAACTGCTTCGCAATGGTCACTCGCCCTACTTTTACGTCTGTGCTTCCCAAATGACTCTGCTGTTCCGCTCCAAGTCCGAGAAAGCAGCGGGCCCGCCGAAAGTCGAAATCCTGATCTCACCGACGACAAAAGGTTTCCGTGATGCTCTGACTTCTGAGGGTACGTGATGTTCCTTTGATGACACCCCTGCTTGCACCGAAAGCAACCTAACTGACCAACGTACACAACCCATTCTTATTCAATGTACAATCAACCTTGCGAGTATCGAGTCTTATCGACCCTTGAATGTGCATGAGAAAAGTGTTGTTATTCGCGAGTTGTTGTTATATAGTACCCGAAGTCATTTTCACGAGATTGACTGCATCTTCTCTGTGACATACATGTGGTGGTGATTACTCTTTTGTGCCGGCATATTTGTCGCGTGGCCAGAGTGCCGGCGTGGGCAACATTCCTAAGTTCTTCACGTGGAGTACTTTGCTTGCGCAGCGTAGGCACATTGCTGATCATGTGTAAGAACTGTGTTTCATAGTCCGGATGTTCTGGCCTCTCGGTTGTGCCGGTTGTAGTATGCCGGTGCAAAGCGGCCCGGGGTTGTGTGTTACATTTGCATACCGGTACATGTATCAGCACAGTTTTCTTCAATGACCTGGACAGGAATATGGACCATGTTTAGTAGTACCTACATGTGTGTTGCGAGTAGCAACATTCTCCTACTGCTCAGACGTATGAAACAAACTGGTTACAGTGGGTCTTGGCATTGTGTGTAGAGCTGATTCAATTGAACATTGTGTCGTTGTAAATCTCATCATTTGTTCTCTGTGTTTATTCTTGTCATGTGTGGTGTTGCATCCTGTGCAGATGTTTGCTTTTCCATGCCCCTCCACTCTCAGCGAAGTGACCAGGACGCACCCGAGTCGCCAACCGGCTCGCCGAAGGAAAGCAAGTCTGAATGGCTTGAGAGCATTGGCCTGTCGGTGGACAACTTCCCGTCCTTGCAGGACCACCATGTGTTCATGTGAGTTGATCTAGCTGCTTCGCACCCTTGCTCTTAGTGTATGATGCGTACAGCACATGCAACTTGTCATTAGAATGACCACGTCATACTCGGGTATGTAGTTTCATGCCCAAGAAATCGTGCAGTGGGGTTTGTCAACGGCTTATCTTGATCTATTAAACCACTGTCAGTATCTACTGCTCAACGCTATAGCTTTGTTGCTACGTGACTAGTCAAACATATGCGTAGATCTGTGTAACGCTTGCCCCCTCAAGAAACCATTTCTGAATTTATTTTTGCAGTGAAACCTACAGTACACCAGTACGATGTTCAATGGGAACGGTCGGACATGTGAAAAGAGAGCCCCTCTGGACCTGCCACTGATCTTCTGTTTTGTTGTGTACCTGTGTGATACCTATCCTTTCTGCAGACAAGAAGCAAGATCTCACCGACACGACTTCCGTCCGGAGTCACTCATCCTCATCGAAGGCTCGTCAAGCCAAGCTTTCTTCAACTACGTCCTGTGTAACAGCGGTCAGCTTGTTGCTAGCACCGGCTCTCAAACTGGCTTGCCACCGACAATTCTTTGTCCGGTGGCGTTCTCCGGAGCAACACTACATCCGCTCAAGGTCAGTTCTTGTCCTTTCTCTGGTTTGGCAAGCTTGTGTCATGGGCTGGATCTACAATAGCATGGGTTTCCTTTGCCTGCAGAGCCTTTCAGTCCATTAGGAATGGATATGCGTGGCATTGAGTGTGGTGTTCAGGTTAGCGTGTTTCGATTTGTTTACATGACGCTTTTTGTGTTTTCAATGCGATGGGTGTGTGTGTGTGTGTGTGTGCAGGTGGAAGTGTCGACACTGCGAGTAGCGGGTCGTGACGGCTCGTCCACGCACCACAGCCTGGAAGTGAGTGGCGCCGTGCTGCCTCATCACGTGCAGACACTGTGCGCATTGCTGCAAGCGTGCCAGGGCGATCTGCATCTGACGACCAACGTGCACGAGCCGACTGCCGCGTTCAACTCACTGCCAGATGGGCAGTCGGTCACCTTCCGGAAGGTCTCTGCTCGCGAGGGTGGTGACATGCCCTGGACCGTGATGCAGTGACTCTCTGAACATAGAGCACTGTCTTCATACCTGGCATGCATTCCTTTTCAATGGAGACATTCCCTAATGGACTTGAGCATCGTGCAACCGGTGTAGTAGGGGTATTTAGTATTTGCTATTTGACAATGGTGTTTCTCGGCTTGTTCTTCGACGTGCTTGCATTGTTACAATATGTCATGTTCTTGTTGCTGGTCTGACTTACTAAGTTGCTAGTGTTAGGTATCTCTCATTTTGCGAGTGGATTATCTATTATTTATTGACCACCTGTAGCCTGTTGAACTGACTTAGGTTTTCACACTTTCTCTGCTCGTTCATTGTTAATTTTACAATGAATGATAGAAATACTAACAGATATCTGTCACCCTACACTTGCAAGCATCTCGCTATTTGCCTATGCATTCACGGCCTACAACCTCTCTTTTTACGCACATCAGACATGCACCTCCAAATGTGGTGTGGTTGATTCAATTCTCTGATTCCTGGTTGCACAAAGTCGCGCGGAGCACCCGCTGCAAAACACAAGCCAAAGAAAAGTGTTAAAAAAAACCTTTTTTGCTGGTCCACATGCACTGCATGAAGCCCGAAGGTAGCTGCCCGCTGGTCCACTAAACACAGAAACAGCATGCTTTAGAGTTATGCCCTCTTGCTATGTATATGTAACTTGTAATAATTATTATAAGGTACAGTCCATCACCCTCGCAGAACAATGCGTCAAGAGGCAAATGTGGACAGGAAAAGTGTGGAGTGATTTGAAATACGAATTACAGAAGACGGTGTAATATTGAGAGTTGCCCAGGAATTGTCGGAATAAAGTTTGGAGTCAAAATGCAAGCAGATAAGACATCAGATCTAATCGGCCAAGAACTTGAAAATAAAGAACAGTTACTACACACACACGAAACACACTCATTGCCCGTGAGTGCCAACCGACGTACAGCGACAGTACTACACAACACGGCCTATCCTTTCCGTGCGCACAAACTACGAGTCATTGTATAGGAATAATATGCTTGGAACTGCTGAAAAGTATTAAAAATATATATATGGCAAGTGATAGAAACCAGTGCAATCAGTAACTTTACACAACCAGTTCCTACAATTCGAAATAAGACCTATGTACAGGCACTACCGATGGGGTTGATTTTGAAATAGCATCTTTAAAAAAAAGGAGCAGTTGAAGAGGAGGACAATCATTGCTCGTTTGGGTAAGTCTAAAACGGAGTGACAAACTTCAAAGAAAGGACAGAGACGAGAAAGAGAGAGAGACACCCACACACACACCCACAGACACAGAGAGAGAGAGACAGAAAGACAGAGACAGAGTGAGAGAGAAAGAGACTACGCAGACTTGTGCAGAGTCCAGACTATTGTCTGGCCAGTACCAGCGCATGTGACAAGAGTGTAGCCACAGCTTTCTAGCTTATCTAGCACCATTGCTGGACAGGTCGGTGCCACCCACTGAGGACTGAAGAGTTCAACCACAAAAACCAACACAGAAACAAGAAGAATAAAATGTACAACGTCAAAAGACAGCCTCGCAAAGAAGAAACCAAAGATTTGCGTCCAGGCATGAATTGTGTAAGGCTACGATTACCCGGTTACGCACCTGCCCAGCACACAGTTCCACTGCACACTGTGTAGTGAGGTCTAGCAAACACAGCACAGCATATTATCTGGAGCATGCTGGAAGATTGCCCGGCCATCAAACTCGGGATAGCATCCGTGTCCTTCACCCTCCGTTAAGTAGGAGTGCGGACGTGTATATAAATTAGCGTACCGGTAGAGGTATTCATTGACCAATTCACACAGCACTTACAAGTTGTTGCCAGCTCTGGTCACAAGCGACGCTCCTAAGTACTCCATCAGATCCGCATCACTGTCAGCACCGCCGCAAATAGTCGGGCCAGCCTCCTGCACATACACGTATTGATAAGATTAGTGGTTCCTATTTTCATGTATTACAGTCATTGCACGGTTGAGTCACTGTGTATACATTGGTATGCTGTGCTTGATGAAATTCTAGGCTGGTCGTTCTTCGGCGCCTGACAGTATTGCAGAACAGCAGCGTCATTTGAAGACCTGGGGAAGACCTGGAGAAAATTTTGTGGTACGTGTGAAGCAGATATTTTTACTATGTACTGTGTTCATTAGATTCCTTGTCTAAACATGAGATGTCACATTGTCAGTTTGCATTTTGTTTACACTTCAGTCTCGTACCTAACACTAACAGTCATGCTGGAATGTGTGGGGGACTTTTAGAATAATTACTGTGCACGCACTTCACATTTCCAACGCCGAAAATGGTACGAGTGTATGATTGTATGCAGTTACTATGGTGTAGCAAGCTTGGTTGTTGGGAGCATGAGCTGAGGCGACTCAAACAATTGTCAAAACCTTTCCTGAAATTTGAAAAACCACTTACTACAATTGTAGTACTAGTATCAGATTCTACCAATACACGGTACTTACGGTGCGGATTAGACAGCAGATCACCACGTAAGGCATCTTTGCAGCTAGCCGGTTGAAACTGATAACTTCGAAGTAAAAATAGTCGACAATATAGTGTAGTGCAGGATGCAGACTACAAGACTGCACACGATACGAATACCTTTTTCATTTCAAGTCAATTCGAAATCCAAAATCTGGAAACAAACCTCAAGTCAAGAGGCTTGTGTGCAGGCGCTAGCCGGACACGGCTGTCCCATGCATGCGACGGGCGTTCATTAAATATGGCGGCCAAATTTTAATATTTTTCATTTTTTACGCGACCTGGCCTAGTTGTATGTTTGCAATTTCGCTCGACTTCCATCTCAAACGGGCAAGGTCAACCGAAACCACGGGTGTTTGCCAGGTCATTCGATAGAGTTTAGAGCTTGGACTGGCCTTGCCTTCGACTGTGCCGCCGCTCGAGCGATCTTTTTGGGTTACCCACGCGCTACGCATGGTTTCTTTCTCGACGTGGGTGCAATTATTTTTGGATCGTCGCTCGATTTCAAGGGCTCACCAACCTCGTCAGCGAATTTTCTCCGCCTCGCAGACAATTTTCTAGTATACCTCGATGTCCTAGCCTTTCGATTTCGTGTATTCCTAAGCTTGACGTGCATAACTGTAGCTTTTCGTGGCCATGTTAGAGACGTTATTTTGTTCAGAAATGGAGGCTCATGTTAGCTTCCTGTCGTCGTGTTGTCGTATTGGAGGGGAGAAATTCGCGTCAAGGAGTGGACGGACGAAGTATCGTGTGGCAGATCATACTCAATCCATTTTGGCAGTGTTTCATCTCAACTTGATGTGGATGAAACCAAATACACCCTGAACTTTTTTGCCACACTTGCAAATTGGCCATGGAATGCACTGCTACTGCCAGGGGCCCAACATTCTCTGGAGCTCCAGAGGTGGATGTACACCGTTCAAAGACTGGGAGCCACACAGTGGGACAAACTGTTTGAAATGCAAGTCTTCCAAGCCTGGCAGGAAGTCCAAATGCAAAACACAAACGCAAGACAAACTTGCAGCATGGGAGAAAACGCGGGCCATCGCCCGCAAGCACGAGCACATGCACGCCGCCACCACTGACAGCAGCATCACCAAGAAAACCTTGCCCCACCACACCAGTACCTGATCACTGGATAGTTTAGTCTGTTTGGTTTACGAATTCAAAAAAGGAAGACAAAATAACAAAACTAAAAACACGAGCGTCGCATGGACCGAATCTGATGAGCAGCAGCACGTCACACCCGCATACCAAGTTTAGTTATAGTAGTAAAGTATTTATTCATATTTCTCTAGGGTTTAGTGGGTAAATCTCTGCATCCAGAACAGTTCATATAGGAATGCAATAACACACGCACAATGTCCACTATGTCACAGGTAGAGAGAGAAGTGTTTGCAGCTTGCTGGTAGACGTTCAGCCGTGCATGCATTGGCAAATGGCTAGAGCAGACGGCCCGCTGCCCTTAATGTAAGGCACACACGCAAGCGTCAGAGCTACAGCAGCCGAACAGCATAGTTTATGGATTCATGAAAGACTGCACCATACACTGCGCCAGCTCTGGTAGGGTGCCCTATTTGAGCATCGTCACTGGTCGGTGACGTTTTGCAGGCCTCACCATCAAAGATGCGAGGTGATGCTGCTGATCGACTTGCTGGCATGATAGTCACAAGCATAACTAACGGAGGATGGCTGGAAGTCGAAACCAGCTGTAGATGTAGATTCCAGGTATACAAGAGAATTACTGACGCCAGCACTTTATCCGATGCCCCATCAGTGTCAACTGTACGCCGATGGTCACAGGACCGTGACAGCCTTTCGATCGGTCTACGGTCGGGAGACGGGGCTGCAAGCCCAAAGCAGCGGGTATATAGTGTTCGTCACCAGCTGAGCAAGAGAGCTTGCTGAGAGATTTAGGTGTGCACTGTTCAGCAACCACTGAGTCCCAACATAGGTTTGTCCATGAAGGCTGGTGATCCTCAGCTATCATACAACAAATTCCTACTCACTGCGCATATGGCTTGTGAAACAGCAGCAGAAACTGCACTGCCTTGACAAACGCACCAGTTACCATGATGGAGCAGATATGCCAACACCAAATCTCCAATCGCTAGTACAAGTAGCTCTTCACTAAATCATGCCTAGTGCCTGCTGGCAGTGATATTTTCAGCAAGAGCGCTGCAGTTACTGCTGAGGAGATATACAATTGCGTCCTTGAAGTCGAAGGCGCTCATCAAAGATTTCTTGCCATCAATTCTTGGCCTTATGCAGGCACGAGGTGGTCTCCCGTGGCATTGGCCATATTACCCCGAGCTGCACTTGCTCGAGGAGCACGTTGTTTCGCTCATGGAAGTCCTTCGTGTTGGACTGAGTAGGCTTGCTGAGAGAACAGAGCGCTGAATCCATCCACGTCCACAACTACGAATAATTTACAAAAACATTCCTACTGCAGATCAGCGCTTGAAAACGGCGATGCAGATCAGCGACGTTGGGCTTCTCCATTCAAAAGGAGAGCCTTCCTAACGAAGCAATTCTCATGTGACACTACATAGTCTCTCAAGCACTCTAGTTCAGGTCTTCTTCTCTCCACTCCATTATCATTTCGATCTTCACTCGGTCGACGTGATGGTAGTAGCTATGTAAAATAATTATGATGGATTTCTCCCGATCCTCGTCGCGGCTAAAATTTGTTCGGTGTTTGTCTAAATTCTCAAACTGACAGGGTTTACAAGAGAAATGTACCTAATTTTGTGCGATTGATGCAAATAAATCGGAATATGTCCGACTTCATAAATCCGTGCGGTAAACCGCATGAAAGGACGCCATGTCGTTAGTTGGTGCACATGAAGTCACCGTGCGGACAGCAGCCACACTTCGCGCTGACGACGCGACGCGCGCGTCGCGCGACGTCGACATCGCGGCTGATGTCACGATGTGCACGTGCACGAGCTAGCGCAAATCTCATGACATCATCCAATTTTTTGAAGAAAGAGTCATTATAATTATTATCAAGAGTAGATAAACAAGAGTGTGCAACTCCGCATGGGTTGGCCCACGGCGGAATTTTTTGTTGACGTAATCTTTTCGACGACGCACGCGCTGCGAGCCTTTTGGAGAGTTTTCCCTCGTGCACTTGGCTGGGCTTTACACTGCATGCAAGGTCGGTGCCCAGCACGTGCTCTCACACTGCTCTGCGGCAAAGCCGCGTTTCTCTGAAAAAAGGTGACGTAAACAAAAAATTCCGCCGTGGGCAGATTGTGCAGGAGAGATCCGGAGTTGCACACTCTTGTTTATCTACTCTTGTTATTATGCGTCTTCCCTGATCTTGTCTTCCGAAATGTAAAAAAAGTGTTGAATCTTCTATCATCCCTCGACTCTTGTCTTGATACTCCTTTTCAAACAATCTCACTGCTCAGTTTTGCATAGCGAAAAATCAATGCAGGCTTGAAGGTGTGGCGGTGGGAGCGACTTTCCTTCTCTTTAACCAAAGGTAGTCAGTAATGATTCCTAGCAAGCCAAGAAAGAGTAGGGTCGGTGCGAGGCGTTCTTTCAAAGAAAAACACCCGGAGCAAATTCCCCAGTGTGGCACTGCTGCTAATGACTGCCAACGCTTAATTGAAGAATACATTGAGAAGCAAACAGTGCGCTTTGAAGAATTTGTCAAACTATGGAAGACTGGAGGTTACAGCTTGTTGCAGTGGTAAGATAATTTTTGAATAGCGTCGTACATGGTCCATCCACGACTGGGTGGACTTCCTGTACATGTAAAATACGATAATGATAGGAATATCCTACACTGCTATGCGTGTTACATGATTGGTTCGTTGTTGCAACTGAGATGAAGCTCAAGAGCATATTTTGGATGAAGAAAAACTGTTTTTTTGTATGCTAGCATATTGTGACTGAATAATGATTGCTGCGTGCATGGCTGTTTTTTGTGCGATTTTACGCCACTTAACAATATGGCCGCCGAAAGTCTCGATTGGGCTTCAATGGCAAGAAAATTTGAATTTTCAAATCGTCAGAACACGAGTAGGCCATGGTTTCCCCTGGATATTGGAGACTAGTCAGCCCGGACAGCCCGGGGAACACGCTGATCATCTGCGTCTTGTTTCAAGCTTTCCGCTCGTACCTCACATGACTGCCTTTCCTTCAAGAAACATTTGTTCTGTGTCGTGCGACTTTGGCTTCGTTCTGGAATACTCCTTGTGTCGTCGCTGACAAACTCGACTCCGAGAAGCCCTTCCCGATTTTTTCCCAGCTTAGATCGATTTTTTCCCAGGTAGAGGACTATCCTCTGGTTGTCTTCCACAAGTGTCATTAGAATACGCGCGTGAACTTTTAAATACGCGCGACGAGTCAGGAGCCTGTTTTCTCTTGATTTGGAAGACAAAATGGTGTGGCCCTTTAGTTGCTGTTGAGTGTAGAAGGCTGCTTCCTGCTGTAAATTGCTTAGTCAGCATGTGGGATATTATAGAAGAAGACAGCAGCCGGCCAAGTGAGCTTGAAATTGTGATATCTACCCTATTGTGCGTTGAACGATTACGAAATGTCTAACTTGAATGTTGTACACGCGAGAAAGGTGGTATATCTCGCTCGAGCGCTTTCAAAACTTTCTCTTGGTTTCGCGTCCCAAATCGTGGAACCACGCGAGGATCGACATGAGTTTCTTGCAAAAACGCAAACTCATCGCATATTTGTACTATTCGCACAATGTTACATAAATCGCACCGAACGACGCCATATTGATAAGTGCCTGCACGTGAACAGCCGTGCGTGGTGGGTGTACGTGTATATTGTGGTGCGGTGGGTGTACCCGAACCGGTACATGCATGTATGTCCTTGCGTTTGACTGTTTGGTGTCTGTGTTTACACTTGCAATTGTAGAGACATGTGCATATCAATCTTGCTGTGACTCTTGAGTTTTACAGTTCACGCCCAAGCGATCATCAGTCTATGTGTCTGTGTGCCCAATTCCCTGTGTGGTTGATGTTTGTGTCCCTGTCTGCGTGCTTTTCTTGGTGGTGTACGTGTTTTTGTGCTGCCTTCTTCCAGTGCCGTAGATCAACGCTTCCGTAGCGAGGTAAGACCTTGATCAGGCTACCATACTTTAGTAGGGCATTATTGAGAGTACATAAACCAGAGTGTGCAGCTCCGCACCTATGCTGCATAAAACCAATCCCACGGCAGAGTTTTTGGTTTTGTTTCGGTCATCACGAATCCTAGATTGCCGGTCATGCCGTAGGTTCAATGCGAAATCACCGTATCACTGAGGTGATGATGGGAAATTCACGTGCGCTTTTCACCACTTGTACGAAAAGTAGCAATGCCCAACAGAAATTACCTTAGTGAGCCGGTGAAATGACCTTGTGAACGGGTATGAGATGTAGCCAAGGCAGGTCACTACAATCTAAATCAAAATTAATTTTCTGCTGTGGTCTCATTCTCCCGGAGTGCAGTTGCACATTCTGGTTTATGTACTCTTCGTACCATTGCACCTGGCAGTATACTACTTTGGGGCAAGTCGATTGTCATTTGCATGCACAAGCACATCTGCAGTCGCAATAAACCGGACAGTGCAACTAGTCACGATGGGTTTGCCGTGTTACAACCGGGCGTCCGGTTATCTGTCCTGTGTACACTGTTGTTTCCTGTTGCATTGTGCAGCTTGTGGAGTTCATGATGGGCCAGTTCATCATACAGCTCCGTTCTGACAACGTGTTGAACTGCGTGGCCAGTATCTATGCGCTGTATTGCACCTACACATCACAAACCTGCCAGCCTATTGTTCGTGTAAGTAGCACGGTTCGTCTTGCCATGCTTTGCAGTGGGACTCCTTGCATGATGATAGCCCAGTATGCAAACACATGTCATCTTGGCAGTTATTCATAAGTGGTGGCGCATACCGTGCATGCGCTCGCATGTGTGTGTGCACGGCCGCGCACATGTACACACACGCACACCTCAGACCTCAGACATGCCCATCGCGGAAGCGATGATAGCGAACAGCTATGTTAGACATAGCAACTTGTGCTGGGATTACACCATTCAACAGCTTGCAAGGCTGATGAATTGACCGCCACTATTTTTAGCCTGGTATCCACCACACAGCTGTTTGAAGTGACTTTTTCTGGCCAGTGAATCCCTATACACACGCACACACACACACACACACACACACACACACACACACACACACACACACACACACACACACACACACACACACACACACACTACTACAGTGGTCCCTCTATAATCCGGCACCATTTGTGCCACGAAAATCTGCTGGATTAGGGAGGGTGCTGGATTAACAAATCTGATTTACTGCTGCAATGTGCATGAAGAGGACATTTTGGCTACTGAAAATTGTGCTGGTTTATCGAGGGTGCTGGATTATAAAGTGCCGGATTAGAGAGGGACGACTGTACTACTACTACTACTACTACTACTATTGACAGCTGCCAGGATTGGCCACGCCGCTCCCAGATGGGAGGTACTGTCAGAGAGGTTAGGGGGGGAGGAAGGCAATGCTCTAAGTGGCGTTCCAGATCTTGCCGCCTCCGGAACCGTCGGTTGTGGCAAACTTGGCAGTGAAACTTGAATTGTTGGCGTTCAGCCACAGTAGGGCGCTTTGGACAGGTTCCACAACGGTGACGCTTGAGACCCGCAGCCGATTTAAATGAACGCTGACAGTTGGTGCAAGTTACACCCGGAACAACAAGAGGAGCAGGGGCAGGGGCCGGCGGCTGGTCGACATCGCCTAGTCGACACTTATGCACCGCAAAGCCTCCTCTGCTACGTAGCCATCAGTTGCATGTTGGACACTGTACTGATCCAGGCTGCTCCGATACCGGGAGCTGACGGATTGCTGAACACTTGTGCCGGGCCATGTCGGAACTACGGCGGAACAGACGGTGGCGGGTTGGGCACTCGATGCTCTTCGGGGCAGGTTCCTTGTCCTCACCTGCTGCTGTCACCACTCCACGCCACTCTCCACGATCGCTTGCCAACTCAAACCAGTTACGCACTCCAGCCACGGATAGGTCCGTGTGAATGGTGTCCTTCCAGCGACGACGAGGTCCACCAGGGGCGTCACACACGGTACGACCACTACGACCATGGTCGTACCACTTTTCGTCCAGGATGGTCCACCCAATTCATCCAAAAAAGCGATAAAAAAATTCAAGGATCTTCGGACTTGTACAAAAGTCAAAACATCGTAACTACAACTAAAAGTCGCTCTAAAAGTCACGGCACGAAGCACGGCATTCCTGTACATGTGTACTACACTCTAGCAGTGTACTCGTACAGTGAGAAGATGGTCGCAGCACTCGCCCATATGTACAGATCGTACATGTCGGTGTGCTAAACAAGGCAGATCGCGCCTTGCTGGTAGGCCGGATGTGACCAGTGACATGTCACACCTCGTAGCACAACGCGAAGTGTTGCAAGACTAGTCTAGAGTACATCCACTAGTACTAATCACATTATAGTACTTAGCACCTCACAGTCACACCACAACTGCGCACAAGGAGCACGCCGTAGATCTATGTACACAGTTTGCGAAGCCAAATCGTTATAATGTTGTGATTGAGGCGGACTTACCGTCACACTTGGCTCCGTAGCTGCAGGGTAGTTTCAATGGCGGCGGAATCCGCTGGACCAGAGATTGCGGATAAGCCCAATCAGCCCAGGGATTTCCAGTTTCCGAAGCGCAGCTATGGCGTAGCGACTGTTCTGTGGCGGTCCTTCCAGCCACAATGGTTTGATGTTTTTCCCTGGTTGCACTGGGACTCCGCAAGCGAGCGAGCGTTTTGCCACACTTGCGTCAGAGCGTCGAGGCGAGGCCTTATTTCCTCCAGAACCGTGGAGCAAGCCTTCGTGACAACAGGCTATCAGAATTGGAAGGAGGCAAGGCGCGTGATGTCGAAACATGCCGAGTCGCGCTGCCACAAGGAAGCGGTCGATCGCCTGCTGACAATCCCGGAAAATGTCGGCGATGTTGGTGAGCGCTTGGACTCCCAGTTTACTGCCCAGCGGAAGGAGAATCGTGCTTGTCTGCTGCAAGTGCTCCGATCCGTGCGCTTTCTCGCACGACAGGGACTCGCTTTGCGTGGAAGCTCCAGGTCGGGAGGTGGAGAGTGTGACGGTAATTTTCTGCAGGTTCTGGCTCTACTGTCCGACAATGATGAGAGTCTTGTGCGCTGGCTGAACCGTCGGACTGACAAGTACACTAGTGCTGCCATTCAGAATGAAATACTTCAGGTAAGAATCAGACAAATGACTGCATGTTAATGATGTTATGCTATTGGATACATTCTTCAGAGCAATAATTGTGTTGCCAACTTCGATGTATCAGACAAATGACTGCATGTTAATGATATGCTATTGGATATTATTATTCTTCAGACTCAGAGCAATAATTGTGTTTCCAACTTCGATGTACTTCGAAAATAGCGAACAATAAATACTGTGGCATTTTCGTGATAGCAATGGCTTATCACTTATCAGCTATTGTTCCATTTCAGTGAATATATTGCAGCTGACTAATATTCACACAAACTTATTATTGTTGTATTGGCCTTTTGCTTGCCTCTCCTAGGTGATGGCCCATCGTTTGCTTCGTCAGTTGTCACTCCGGATTCGGAACGAGATCTTTGCGATCATGGTTGATGAGACAACTGACTGCTCCACCGTGGAGCAATGTGTTGTAGTTGTCCGTTGGGTAGACGACAATCTCGAAGCCCAAGAGGATTTCCTTGGATTTTATGCAATCCACACAGCCAACGCTTCAACTGTTGTCCAGGTAAATGCTGTCACTTGATGTTTAAAATCTTTTTGATAGAGCACTGTATTGACAATGTACTGTGCAATAGTTACATTTCAGGGATTTGACTATTTTAATATGGTAGCAGTCAGTGTGAATGATTTTGCAATGTATTTGCACAGCGTGCCATTTACTTGCAGTCCCACAACATTGTTTTGATCTGGGTGTTTTGGTCTTGGTTTGTTCCTCATTGCACAGGTAATAAAAGACAGCATTATTCGCATGGGCATGTCACTCGCCAACTGCAGAGGCCAATGCTATGATGGTGCTGCAGTTATGAAGGGCACAAGGAATGGTGTGGCAAAACAGATCCAGGACGAGCAACCCAAAGCGATCTTCACGCATTGCTATGGACATTCGTTGAATCTGGCCTGCCAGGACATGGTGAGAGACGTGAAGGTGGTGAAGGATGCGCTAGACACTACCTTCGAGCTGAGCAAGCTACTCAAGTACTCGGCTAAGCGGACTGCTGAGTTTTCGAAGTTAAAAGAAGAGATAGCACCTGATGAGCCTGGTTTTCGAACCCTGTGCCCGACTCGTTGGACTGTCCGTGCAGCATCATTGCAGAGTGTCCTGGCAAACTATGAAGTAATCCAGGCCAGTCTTGAGAGATTTACGGAGTTGGCGAAGTACGACCACGAGATGTCAGCCAAGTGTAACGGAGTCGGCCATCAGCTAGCCACTTTCGAGTTTCTGTTTGGAACCTGCCTCGGTCACCTAGTTCTGCGTCTTGCTGACAACCTGAGTGTGGCGCTCCAACAGAAGTCACTCTCAGCAGCAGATGGGCAAAGGATGGCTTCGCAGACTGTAAAGGCGTTACAGAAGCTTCGATCCGAAGAGGAATTTCAGAAGTTCTGGGCCGATGTTCTCCTCAAACAGTCTGCTGTGGATGTCAGTGAGCCGCAGCTGCCACGTCGCCGCAAAACCCCTGCTCGCCTTCAGACGGGCACCTCCAGTCCTCACTTCCCAGCTACAGTAGAGGACCTCTATCGTCCGATGTTCTTTTCGGCACTGGACACCATCATAGCAGCTATCGGTGACCGGTTTGACCAGCCTGGCCTGCAGCATTACCAGAACCTAGAGCAACTTCTGCTGAAGGCTGCAGCTGGTTCTGCCTACAAGGACGAGAAGGAGCATGTTGCTAAGCTTTGGGGCGATGACATCAATATGTCATTGCTGGAGTCGCAGCTCGCTATCCTGGCGTCTTACTTCACCTCCAAGGAAGTGTCTCTTGCTCGTATCGCAGAGTACGTACAGGCCCTGCCCAACAAGCACTTCCTAAGTGAAGTTGTAGCCCTGCTTAGGCTAATTCTGGTTGCTCCTGCAACCAATGCCACTAGCGAGAGATCTTTCTCTACCTTGCGCCGCTTGAAGACCTACCTACGGTCCACAATGAGCCAGGAGAGGTTGAATCACTGTGCCATCCTCACCACGATGAAAGAGGAGTGTGATGCCCTTGACCTGAAGGATATTGGCAATGACTTTGCCTCCTCCAACCAGCACCGCATTGATTTGTTTGGCAAATTTTAAATCTTGCGTCTGGCCAATGTTGATGCCGCTTAGAACTATTGTTCCGTATTTTTAATTATTTGTCGGATCAAGTGTCTTTGCTGATATTCTGAATTAAAGTTTCCCGTGTGATACATGTGCATATTGAGTGTAAGTGGGGTTGTCTAATAAGTGCTCGGGAAACCCTCGTTTGCGGCTGCAGAGCGCCAAAACGTGCCCTATTGCCCAAAAAATCCCAAATTTTTTTCCGGGGGACACCCCCGGACCCCCGGTCGTACCACTCCGAACTGCCCTGTGACGCCCCTGTCCACAGAATGGCCGAGACTGAGGGAGACAGGCAAACAGCAACTGCTTCGGTACTCTGGTGTCATCAAGACGAGCCAGGTGCCCAAGCCACTCCAACCGTCTCTGCTGCACCATGCGTGACAATGGTGTGGGATCACCCCACTGTGCTCGCAGTTCCTGTGAAGAGATGCGCTGTTCCCACTGTCGGCCTCGCGATACGCCAAGGATGGAGCGAATGTTGGCATGGTGAAACCGGTCCATTCTATCTAAATCTGCCTTCAACGGCGTCCAGCATTCTGAACCATACAGAACCGTTGACAGTACGCAAACGACATACAAGTGACGCCTGGTAGGGAGGTTCAGGCTCCGGTCATGTAGGATGCGCCGAAGACCACCAAAGGCCCCTGCACCCTTTGCTAGACGGCTCCGAATGTCCGCTTGCGACCGCGAGTCTGGAGTGATGGTGGAACCAAGATAGGGGAATGAGGTGACTGCTTCAACCCTATCACTGCCAATGACCAAATCAGAGCAATCAGAAGGGCAAACTCCGAAACCTGCAACGAGAAGCTTGGTCTTGGTCATGCTCACTGTGAGACCCAAGCTGGATGCGACCTCACAAAAGGCACACAGGGATTGATCGGCTGCGTTGCGAGTTGTAGCGAGCAGTACAGCATCATCCGCAAACTCGAAGTCATCAGCATGGCCGGACTCGGAGTGGGGACGACGCCTAGTGACACGAGGGAACAGCTGGCCATCAATTGTGAAGCTGAAGTCCACACCAGACTCTATTCCACGCTCCACGAGAAGGGATCGCCAACGCTCAATAAGTAAGCCGAAGTACAAGTTAAACAGTACAGGTGCCATCACGCACCCTTGGCGCAGCCCATTCTTGACAGATATCGGATCCGTGCAACCACCGGCAACGCGAACGCAAGCTGACATGTCTGTATGGAATGATTTGATGATGGCCACAGTCGGGGGCGGCACACCCAGCCGCAGCAATGCCTGCCAAAGAGCTTCGCGAGGGACAGAGTCGTACGCTTTGCGGAGATCCACAAATACGCAGAAGAGCTTCGATCGATGTTCGTACGACTTCTCGACAAGTTGACGGACAGAGAAGATGGCGTCTGCACAACCACGGTGCCGCCGAAACCCGCATTGGAATTCAGGCAGTTCCGCCTCAGCAATACCTTGCAATCGGTTTTGCATGATCCGAGCAGCCAACTTGCCGACAACCTCCAGCAATGCGATCCCTCGCCAATTATCGCAGCGAGAGAGGTCGCCCTTCTTTGGAATCGGTACCAGCAGTGCATCGCGCCAGTCCTGGGGCACGCAACCCCCCGACCAGACAGATTGGAGTAGGTCCAGGAGGAGTGGATGGAGGACAGGCACACCAACCTTCAGCAGCTCCGGCACAATCTGTGACATACCACCAGCTTTGCCATTCTGTAGGTGTCTAATTGCCTGAGTCAGCTCATCCTCCGATGGTGGCAGTGAGAGGGAGTCCTCGACCTCACGCTGAGGGATAAGTTGGAAGACATGCGGATCGTACACACTGCAGACATTCAAGACACCCGAGAAATGCCCATGCCATGTGCCCTGCTGCTCCTGAACAGATTCGCAAAGAACTCCATCGGCATTGCGGATGGATTGGACAGACAGGGGTTGCAAGCCCCCAAAGCAGCGTTGCATGTCGCGAATGGCAGACCAGACAGCTTTGCCACTGAAACGTCCACGGTGCACCACCGCCGCTTTGTCCATCAACCAAGTTGTTTTTGCCTTCCGGATACCAGTACGAGCCCGGCCACGCGCTTCTTTGAACGCCCGGTGATCAGAGTCCCTGCCGCTTCTCAGCCATTGGCTATACAGGGTATTACGAGACTCCAGTAGAGGCTCCAATACAAGGGTATTGTCACGGAACCAATCTGGCATCCGCCGCTTGTCCCGACCAACCACCTGCTCCGCCGCGTCAACGACAGCCGACTTCACGGTACTCCACTTACAGTCCACAGACGAGGCGCGGTCATACGTGGCTAAACGAGATTCAAGACTAGCACAGTACTCAGCACGTACAGTAGCCACACGCTCAGCCTCCTCTTCACTCATGAATGGCTTGAATTGGTGAACAGCAAACTTCCACGGCCTGGAACGTGCATCATGATGGTACCGTTGCTGCACAACGTCAGGTAGCCGGTATTTCATGCGGACAAGACGGTGGTCTGTGCTACACTCTGCAGTGCGCATCACTTGACAGTCCATGCAACGTTTACGGTGTTGTTGGCGTACGAACACATAATCTATACAATGCCACTTCTGTGATCCAGGGTGTTGCCAGGTGTACATGTGAATGCGTTTCTTGGGAAACAGTGTGTTACATACTGTGAGCTGTTGACACGCCAAGAATGTGAGTAGTCGATGACCAGCATCGTTCACATCACCAACACCATGTGATCCATGCACTCCCTGCCACATCTCTAGTTGCTGTGGGCCAAAACCAACACGAGCGTTGAAATCCCCCAGGACGATGACGTCATCAGCAGAGTTGACATCGCTGAGAGCAGACTGGAACTGAGCAAAGAACTCTTCCTTGTCAGCATGGGGGGATCGAAACGTAGGAGCGTAACATGAAATCACTGACATCCACCCGTGCTCAAATCTCAACCTGGCCGTCACGATGCGTGACGAGACGGGTCTCCACTGGCAGCCTGCACGTTCAAATGCCTGCTTGGCCCTCCGACGCAGAACCAGCGCAACACCCTCGCCACGACGAAAATTTTCGTCAGGTACGGGGCGACCAGAGGCGAGTACAGTCGCATCGCCGATGTTGAAAGAGTCTCTCCCAAACCATTTGGTTTCCTGCAGGCCAGCCACTTCCACGTCAAACCTGGACAGCTCACGGATAACCAAGTCGATCTTTCTGTCCTCCACGACGGGCACAAAATTCAAATTTTCAAAATTCACTCGTCTCTTTGCCGTCTCGACCGGTCCGTCATTGTTGACCAGAGTGCGGACGTTCCAAGATCCAAAGGCCAATGTTCGCAGCCTTCCTCTCCTCCGCCTTCCTGACAGTACTCTCTGAGCTTCGCAGTTTGAAACCATTCGGGGGTCAGCTACACCACCGCGAATGGAGAGACGAGGACAACAACGATCGTGACAGAAAAGAAACTGCCCTGGCGACCGCGCCGCGGAACCCTCGCCCCAGGAAATTTAGGAACACGCCAGGGGCGACTCTGGTGAACCCAGAGCCACCCCGTGGCCTAAGACTAGTAAGAAGAACGACTGAAGCTCACACACACACACACACACACACACACACACACACACACACACACACACACACACACACGTACGCACACACATGCACACATACGCGCGCGCACACACACACACACACACACACACACACACACACACACACACACACACTGAAATAGGTGATGGCCTTGGCTTTCTGTGGGTAGTTGGGAGCAATGCTATTGTGCCTTGCACGTATCCTTCATCTTTCTGTGAGAATCGGACCTCTGGGACTGTGAGAAGGCAACAATGCCTGTGCAATTGGTGAAGTAAAATAGAAGCGAACAACAACATATTCCCAACCCTGATGTGCTCTCATCTGCTGTCGTGTTTGTAACTTGTGTTTGTAGATTCGGCTAACTACTCACCTGTATCAGCGTATCAAACAGGTACACGACTGGGCCACTGCAGACGAGGTTAGTTTAACCAGGCACACCATATCCTGTTGATTTGATAGAGAGCTCTCAACACAGGCATGTGGTGTTTGTGTGGCCAACGGCCATAGCCAGACATTTCAATAAAAAGACTGCATCAGTACGGTTTGTATCTGCTGCACCTGCAGTACAGACTTGTGTCTTGCGGAGTCGCGCTCGATTAGCTCAATATTGCTACCTGGGGTGCCAATGTTGAACTGCTCAACTATGACCACGTCCACGTCCGAACAACTACATCTAGGGTGGTTTAGAGAGGCAGGACAGGTGCTTGTCAACATGCAGTTTTTAATCGCAGTCATGGCCGGATCTGGCTTGCACGTGTGTGTGTGGGTATGTGTGGGGGTGGGTGTGTGTGTTTTTTGTTGTTGTTTTTTTTATTACAAAGCACTGGCCAGCAACATAAAAGGGGAGGTAGACAAAATTGGACAAGCGAACATTGACAACACAGAGGAGCCTAGCATGCGTGCCGATGAGGTAGGTCAACCTCCCCCGACCTAGTGGTCTCGGGTTCATCAGTTGGCCTACGCATCAGGAAGGGGAAATGGACAGAGAAAGGGAGAATGAGGATGAGGAGCTTTCCAGGAGAGGAAGAGCGAGAGAGTGAGTGAGTGAGAGAGAGAGAGTCTGAGAGAGAGAGAGAGAGAGAAACAGAAAATCATAATAATAGAGACAACCGGTTATTCTCAGTGCTGGTTGACGTCAGTGGCCCATAGCCAATTGGTCTGGCGGAGGTGATGGTAGGCCTTGGTCTTGAATGTCGGCAATTTCTTGAGAGTTGGGCGATCGGCGAGGATTGGGGCAGGCAGTGTGTTCCAGCTCTCCCGGACAAAGTATGGGAAGGAGCGGCGGATGAACTCTGGACTGGAGGCTGGCAGAGGAGTTGTGAGTTGAAAAGAGTGGCCACCGAGGGACTGGTGTTGCCGGCGCGTCCAACGACACGGGCAATTTTCCATTATTGGGGCTGGACTCCATTTGCAAAACACAGGCGAAACAGTCTAGCCAGCGGATATGCTAGTTCAGCTGCACACTCCTTGAGTACTCGTCCTGGGATCTCATCTGGACCAGTGGATTTTGATGTCAGGCACCGTTGGACTTCGGAGACGCGGAAGCGGATGCGCTGCAGGCTCGGAGTGGTAGTGTGGGGTGTTGCTGGTAACTCAGCATTGTCGATGTCATTGTCCCCAAGGCTACATTTTTCAGCAAAGAATCTAGCAAGGCACTCGCTCTTGGCTTTCAATGTACAGTACTGTGCCCGTGCCCGTCAGCATCAGTGAGTGTTGGCACGTCTGTAGTCCTACCCAGGACGGCGCGGCGCGCTTGACATTCCTCCACTAGTCCTTGTCTCTCATGGAACCACGTGTGAGACGCTCTCGGACTGTCTGCTCTTCAGCTTGTTGTCCACGATGTTGGGTTATAATAGATTGAGTGACAGCTGTCATGAACGACTGCTTCAGGCATTCACTGGGCCCCTGGTGACGCCAGGCCTTCCACGCTTTCTCTTTGGCACGTTGAGCCTCAGTGCATTCTGGTGTCCACCGGCTCGGATCGGACGGCCTTGTTTCCAGCTTCTTGTGGGGAATAAACTGCAGCATCCCGGACACGATGTGCCTAGTAACAAGGCTGCATGCTTCCTCTAGGTCCTCCGGAAACTCAGCTGTCCAGGCAATGCGATGGTAGTGGGCACGCAGTCTGTTCCAGTCGGCATGGCCATATCGCCACGCACGCCTCCGTGTGCTGGGCTCATTTTCTAGCGAGGCTTGAGCGAGCTCAGCGTGGACAACACAATGGTCTGACCTTCCTATCGGCGGCGAGATACCGGTGGTCACAGTACCAGTGAAGTCAGAGAGCACTAAGTCCAGGGTGTTGAGACCTCGGGTTGGTTCTTGGACATGCTGCGTGAGGCTGTGGGCAGCGCTTAGTTCCTCCATGTACTCCCCTGCACGGGTGGTCTTAGAGCTGCCGAGCCAAGTCGTGTTGTGGACATTGAAGTCTCCAACCAGCACGGTGTGGGTACCGTGTTTTCTGACGTTATCCAGGATGCCATCGAGGTGCTCAAGTGTTGAGATATCAGTGCCTGAGGCGGATCCAGGCCTGTACACAGCACCCAGCACTATCTTACCATGATGGGCAGACTGCACTGTGAGCCAGGTTACTTCGTGAAGAGATGAGTCGTACTGATCTAGATGATGGTACGCCAATGGGCTGCGTATCCAGATTGCTATGCCACCACCATGTTCAGTCCTGTCACGCCGGAGTGGGCCGGAGTACCCTGGGATGGCTGACTCGTGAAGGGAGAACTTCTCTGACGTGATCTTGGTTTCAGTATTAACAGCGATATCAGCTTTGGAGGATACAAGCGCATGTTGAAACTCTCCAAATTTGGACATGATTCCACCAGCACTTGTATCTGGGCTGCTGCTTTTGTTGCTACCTGCGCTTTGCAGTGGATTGGGTAGGGATGGGGCTGTGTCTGGCTTGTCAGTTGGTGGGCAGCCAGGCTGAGCTGACCCTGGTGCCGTCTTGTGAGTGCCGGATGTGTGGAAGGTCCACCTCCTGCAGTAAAGTGGCCTTGGCCAGAAGTTGGCAGCCAGCAGGATATGCAGGGAGCTGGCATCCACAAACGCTCTTGCAGACATGCAGCCGCTAGCATTAACATGCATGCTACAGGTGTTGAGCACTACTGGTGTGTCAGAGTTGACGGCCCTGCTGCGCAAATCAACAAATTCACGTAACCGGTCTTCAGTTGTCTCCCTGCTGAGGTTACCAACATACACGACAGCTCTCTTCGCTCTGTGGGGCTCATCTGCAATGAGTTTCCATGCATCGTCGGAGATGGGCTGCAACACCTTTGTGCTCTTGTTGCGCTTTCGTCTCCGTGGCTGCTGAAAACCGTCATCCGCGTCACTCTCGCTCATGCTGTCCACATTGTGGCCAGGACTGGCTGCTGGGCGAGCATCATTTTCAAATTCAGTACAGGGCGCATCGGATGCTGGACCTTGGTTCAGCGCGCTAGTAGATCTACTCATACTCGAACTCGTGCTATACGGCCTGCAGGCTGTGCGGGGGTCAGTACGGGTACGGTCACGGTTCGTAGTACGTACTGGCTGGCATGGCTGAGGAGCTTTCGCCGTGGTCATGGCGGATTCTTTGAGAGAAGCTACCTCCTCCTTCAGCTCAGATACTTGCCTGGATAGCTCATCGAACCTATTGTTCAGGCAATCCTCGCAATCGGCGGCCTCGGAGACAAGTGCGGCCAGACTTTTTAGCACTGCCGATACATCCGACTCGAAACTAGGCAGGGAGCCCAGCATTTTCGTCTCAGATTCAGTCAAGGCTGATGCACGAGAGCTAGTTCTCGTGGTAGCTCCGGGCATGGCAAGTTAGTTTCCGACACTACTCTACTTCTAATACTATTCCTAATCACTGATCTAGTCTACTTCCAGTCTGGCCTGATGCCGGCTGGGCTGCAAAAAGGGGAAAAAAGGAGAGCCCAAAAAACGCGTGCCTCACTTTATATGTATTGGAAACTTGTCTTCAGCTCTTGACTTTGTCTGTTCTGCATCTCGTCATGCTGTAGCACAGCGACTTGGATTTCATAATTCGTCAACTTGGCTGGAAGAATGCTCTGGATATAGTCTACTATAGCTCAGAGGTATGCAATACTATGCATACTTTGCTATCCCAGCCGACTGCTTTACTTCTCCGCAGTGCCTTTGTACATGCATGCATTCACAGATGTGTGTATGTGTGTGTGTGTGCGCGCACGCGCGTGTGTTTTGTGTCTTGGCTTGCCACAGTCCAGTTAAATTAGTTTAATGCGAAGTTTGATTAGAAGAAGCCGTGTTCTATCAACGTTTGGTCAAGCCGGTAACATTGACTCAGAAATGATGCTTTTGCAGTTCATTTTGAATCCTTTTTGCAAACTTTCATTATTTCAATATTTGTATTGTGGTCAGACAATTCTTGTTTCTATTCTTTCCTGTGCTGGTCACTCGGTGTACAGCTTCTGATTGGAACGGGCAAGACATGTCTGGAAGGTGGTGATCCACTGGATGAATTCCTCCAGTCTAAACCCACGTCTCACATGCCTGGTGTGCTTACGCAGGCAGGGGTCACGGTAAGCACTCTGCTTGCGACCAGCTTGCGTGCTTGCCCGCCTACTTCCCGGCTTCCACCTGTATTTGCGCTTTTTGTACTGCATGGTTGCTAGTAGTGAGAGTAGCACTGTTTGTCCGTCACCGTCAGCTTTGTCAGCAGTGAGAAAAATGCGTAGTCCTATTTCCTGGTTGTAGCATTCCGGGATCTTTGTGTTGTCAGACTTTACGTTACGTAGCCCTGTACGTTTTGCTTCATGAACAATTTCACGCTGCTGCACTGCAATTAATGGCCCCTGCGACTGTGGATAAACCAACAATCAGTACCAGTATCGCTGTGCAATTAGCAGTATTCAGGTGGCGTTTGCTTGCGTGTGTCCTGTGTTGTTAATCCTAAAACAATGTCTTCGATTGGATATTTCCGTTTGCACAATCAGGGGTGTTCTGGCTGATGACTATACTACTGTTCTGTGAAGTGAAGACACTCTCTTTTCACTTCTTTCAACTGTTGCTGGGATTGTTATCCTGTGCTTGGTGTTCTCTTGTGCTTAGGAACTGGATGAGCTAATGGAAGAATATAAGCAAGCCAAGCAGTCTCTGTCTGGTGGCGATTCCATTCTGGAACCGCTCAATTATCTTCAACCCTGTGTTGCCGGTGAACTACAAAGGTATGCGAATAGATGGTGCCTGGTGTATGTGTGTGTGTGTCTGTGTGTGTATGTGTATATGTGTGTGTGTGTGTGTGTGTGTTTGGTGTGTGTGTGTGTACGTGTATGTGCATGACTGCCGAAACTCCTTTTACTACAAAAATACAGACTTACATGTACCGTGTGACCTATGTAGTTATGTCAAATTTGACTTTGTAGAGTTTGTGCATACAATGTATACCAGTAAGTGTATGGTGAGTGAGCTACTGTGCATACAATGTATAGCAGTAAGTGTATGGTGAGTGAGCTACTGTGCATACAATGTATAGCAGTAAGTGTATGGTGAGTGAGCTACTGTGCATACAATGTATAGCAGTGAGTGTATGGTGAGTGAGCTACTGTGCATACAATGTATAGCAGTGAGTGTATGGTGAGTGAGCTACTGTGCATACAATGTATAGCAGTAAGTGTATGGTGAGTGAGCTACTTTGCATACAATGTATAGCAGTAAGTGTATGGTGAGTGAGCTACTGTGCATACAATGTATAGCAGTGAGTGTATGGTGAGTGAGCTACTGTGCATACAATGTATAGCAGTGAGTGTATGGTGAGTGAGCTACTGTGCATACAATGTATAGCAGTAAGTGTATGGTGAGTGAGCTACTGTGCATACAATGTATAGCAGTGAGTGTATGGTGAGTGAGCTACTGTGCATACAATGTATAGCAGTAAGTGTATGGTGAGTGAGCTACTGTGCATACAATGTATAGCAGTGAGTGTATGGTGAGTGAGCTACTGTGCATACAATGTATACCAGTAAGTGTATGGTGAGTGAGCTACTGTGCATGCAATGTATAGCAGTGAGTGTATGGTGAGTGAGCTACTGTGCATACAATGTATAGCAGTGAGTGTATGGTGAGTGAGCTACTGTGCATACAATGTATACCAGTAAGTGTATGGTGAGTGAGCTACTGTGCATCTGAGACATATTGCCAACAGTGAGTGTTTGCCTACTTTGTATGCTGTGGACGCACTGAGCTTGCTACAGTGGTGGGGTGATGTGGCTGGGCGGAATGACCATCTGATCATGTTATGTCTTGGGGTTTTTTTTCAAGCAAATGTTGCGCGGGTTGCATCAAATTCTCGAAGTGTAATCGCCTGTGAACGAACGTGCCTAGTGTGGTGCTGCGAAGCGCAATGTTACAATCGAATGTAGAGCAATTGGCTGAATGTGCTTGGCATTGAAACGTAGATGGCTGTTCATACGGGCCGTGTTGCAGCTGCTGCTTCAACGCTATTATCTGTGCTTGCCGATACTTTCTCTCCTCTTGTCCAGCTTGTCAACGAAGGTTAGAGCTACGGCTGATAAGGATTCGTCAAGCTCCAGCAAACAAGAAAAAGACTGACACGAGGAAAGTCTCCGCTTTACTCCACTCACATGCCCGTCGATGTTCATAAGCTCACCGTGACGGGAATGGTGAGTTTTCGGCGAAACAATGAATTGTTTGCCCACCAGCACTTTGGTTACTCGACATACCATGGGTCACAAGCCAGACGAAACCGGTCAGTGCTGATAGTGAACACCTGCTTGGATACCAACCATTGCTCCGCACAGATCAGTGTTGATAGTATAAACCTGCTTGGATACCAACCATTGCTCCGCACATGTCAGTGTTGATAGTAAAAACTTGCTTGGATATCAACCACTGCTCCGCACTGGTCGGTGCTGATAGTAAAAACCTGCTTACATATCAACCATTGCTCCGCTCTGGTCAGTGTTGATAGTAAAAACCTGCTTGGATATCAACCATTGCTCTGCACAGGTCAGTGCTGACAGTAAAAACCTGCTTGGATACCAACCATTGCTCCGCACATGTCAGTATTGATAGTAAAAACTTGCTTGGATATCAACCACTGGTCAGTGCTGATAGTAAAACCTGCTTGGATACCAACCATTGCTCCGCACTGGTCAGTGCTGATAGTCCTGCTTACCGTGCTAATAAGCAGTGCAGTGACTGTGACACCACTGCCAGTGCGTATACAGTACATGTACAGTGTAGACTGTGAACACATGTACTTGTACTGGTAGCTAGTGCCGGAACGTGGACAACAGCCAGCCAGATGATCATCCCGCAAGTCGCCTGTGTTCACACCATAGCTCATCGAAGTGTTGCTTCTGACCAATATGATCACAACCAAGCAAGGAGCAGCATTACTGAATCGGTCAAGACTTGTTCTCTAGGGATGAAAATGTACGCTGACTGCTCTGCTTTCCTTCTGCGAAGCTCGGCCCAGCCCAATGTTCTGGTTTTCTCAAACCCTCCAATGGCTGCCCGTTTGTCTGGAACGTGTCCTGCTCTGCGGTGGAAAGGTGTCTCTTGCGCACCTTTGGTTGATTTGAGGAGCTTGGTGTTTCAAGACTTTGCGCAAAGTGTCACTGCCTTCTCGCTCGTCATACGATTTGGCACCAAGTTTTCACTACTAAGTCTCTTTGCCCACTGTTTCTGTGTGCTCGTACTTGATGATGCTGGCGATGTCCTTGCCTAGCACCTAGCAGTGTGTTTCTACATGTAGTTGGTAGTAGTACATTTCCAGACTGCAGTGTACTTTGAAGTAGCACATTCAACCTCAACAATCACGCCATCTGGTCTCAGATTAGACGTTTTGTGATCCCCAGTATGATTCTGTAGGAAGTTGTATTTCAGCTCGCCAGTGATTTCTTTCCGTGGGAGTGCGTGCCCGTGCATGACCATGCAGTCAGTGGACTACTCACACTGCTACTATAATAACCAACAGCTGGCTAGCATTAGAACTCATACGTAAACCATGCTAAACACTGTGAAACCCCTGACAGGGTTGCTAGACTTTATTGTAACAACCCTCATGTATGCACATGTACTCCTCTCATGTATACTTCAAAGTTCATGTATGTATCATGTTCAACTAGATAACGTTAACACCAAGCGTGCACATATCCTGTTGTTGACATGTCTGAGGTCATCAACTTGTCCTTTCCTTTTGTTTCGTTATGAGCTGTCAAAGCCAGCTTGCAATCTGAAGAGTTCCATACTACTACTGTCTGTTCCAACGTCTTGTGCAGTGTACAGTGCTCCTGCCGTTGCTTCAAGGAGACTCTGCAGTAGAGTCGCGCGCTGAAGAACGTTGAGCCCGAGAATGTCCAGCCTGAAATGCTAAGAATGCCACAGCCTAAAGTTAAGAACGGTGGTGTTGGTTTTCCGCCAGCTTGTGGGATACATATGATCCAGCTCGACTTGTTTCTAAGAGCGTGCTATAAGAACGCCGCCATATTGCCCAACGAAATAAGAATGTCCCAGGCGAACCCCTTGGAAACAATGTTCTTGGACGCGTGACTCTACTGTATCATTTGCACATGTCCTGGTGACCTCTCAGCTTGACCCGCACCCTCTCAGCTTGACCCGCACCCTCTCAGCTTGACCCGCACCCTCTCAGCTTGACCCGCACCCTCTCAGCTTGACCCGCACCCTCTCAGCTTGACCCGCACCCTCTCAGCTTGACCCGCACCCTCTCAGCTTGACCCGCACCCTCTCAGCTTGACCCGCACCCTCTCAGCTTGACCCGCACCCTCTCAGCTTGACCCGCACCCTCTCAGCTTGACCCGCACCCTCTCAGCTTGACCCGCACCCTCTCAGCTTGACCCGCACCCTCTCAGCTTGACCCGCACCCTCTCAGCTTGACCCGCACCCTCTCAGCTTGACCCGCACCCTCTCAGCTTGACCCGCACCCTCTCAGCTTGACCCGCACCCTCTCAGCTTGACCCGCACCCTCTCAGCTTGACCCGCACCCTCTCAGCTTGACCCGCACCCTCTCAGCTTGACCCGCACCCTCTCAGCTTGACCCGCACCCTCTCAGCTTGACCCGCACCCTCTCAGCTTGACCCGCACCCTCTCAGCTTGACCCGCACCCTCTCAGCTTGACCCGCACCCTCTCAGCTTGACCCGCACCCTCTCAGCTTGACCCGCACCCTCTCAGCTTGACCCGCACCCTCTCAGCTTGACCCGCACCCTCTCAGCTTGACCCGCACCCTCTCAGCTTGACCCGCACCCTCTCAGCTTGACCCGCACCCTCTCAGCTTGACCCGCACCCTCTCAGCTTGACCCGCACCCTCTCAGCTTGACCCGCACCCTCTCAGCTTGACCCGCACCCTCTCAGCTTGACCCGCACCCTCTCAGCTTGACCCGCACCCTCTCAGCTTGACCCGCACCCTCTCAGCTTGACCCGCACCCTCTCAGCTTGACCCGCACCCTCTCAGCTTGACCCGCACCCTCTCAGCTTGACCCGCACCCTCTCAGCTTGACCCGCACCCTCTCAGCTTGACCCGCACCCTCTCAGCTTGACCCGCACCCTCTCAGCTTGACCCGCACCCTCTCAGCTTGACCCGCACCCTCTCAGCTTGACCCGCACCCTCTCAGCTTGACCCGCACCCTCTCAGCTTGACCCGCACCCTCTCAGCTTGACCCGCACCCTCTCAGCTTGACCCGCACCCTCTCAGCTTGACCCGCACTGTACAGTTGTGACCTACAGTTTGTGTTTGGCAGACTGAATCACATTTGACTGTACATTGATTTTACCAAGAGTATTTTTTATTTATTTTATTCATTTTTTATTATCAAACTGGTTTATTATGTACTGTTATGAGATGAAATAAAACAGGAAAGGGCACAGGCCCGGATACGTGCAAGGGATAGCAATCAACTTTGCACATGAATTGAGCATGTGTTCTAAATACATGTAAATGTAAATGCAAAACAATAAAAAACCAAAAACACAAACAATGAGCAATAACTTCAGGACTGGGCACAAGTCCTAAAGCAGTAAAAGGTGCAAGAGATAATAATCAACCTTGCGAGTTCGAGTCAAAGCATGCGGACTCACAACAAAATGGCATCAACGTGAGCAAAGAGGAAGAAGAGAAAGGAAACAGCAAAACAAAAGCAAAGATGGAGGATAAACGGCAACAGAACCAAAACTGGCAAACAAACCTGTGACATCATCATGCACAGACACAAAAGACAAATTGAACCGAGTCAAACTGGCATGAGCGACTCATGCTGCAGGACATCGCTGGGGTGATGGCTGAAATTCACCTTCCTCCGACTACCACGCACCATCATGACGGAGTCACGGACTAAAGTGAAGCCAAGCTCACAGCGGATCCGTCCCATGAGGACGGGGGGAAGAGTATAATTATAACCCGGTGTGTTGTTTATCAAGAATACATAAAGCATGAAACTGATGAGTCCACAAAGAACGAAACAGATGTCCGCAGATTGAGCATGGATGCTTCATAATGAAAACGTACTTTGCAGTATTCATTAGTTGAGAGAGTTGAAGTCATGCATAAACCAGTGTGATACATGTGATACATGTGGTGAGAAGCTGCACAGCTGAGTTAAGGGAAATGCAGTTTTCACTCTTCGCAACTAATACTAAGACTTCATAGAGAATGGTGCAAACGACCACTGTTCTGTAACCATACCAACGGCAACGTGTTGCACTTCATGTACAATGCACTAGCAAGAGTATAACACCCTGGCCTGGGGGGGGGGGGGGGTATGATTATTTTTACTCTTGGTAGATCTACTACAAGTACTAGCAAGAGTGCAGGGCTACTACCAAGAGTATAATAGTTTTAAATACTAACTTTATACTCTCTTATTATACTCTTGTTTAGAATACTACTAGTACTACTGGTGCTCTGGGTTTATCATTCTACTCCTGGCTGTATTGCATGGTCCGGCTTCGAGAGCTAGTGAAATCCCACCATTGTTTTGCCAAATCCAGTTGAGAATCTTCAAGATCTCCCAAAAAAATATTAAGGCCATATCTGAGGCGATCGCGATTACAATTTTGTAGTTGTGACAGAAGCAGCATTATGGCTATCACACAGCGATTAGCTCAGATTCGAAAGTGTTGATATGCTGTAATGGAAGCGCCTGTCTTCCAGTGAGCATGGTAATTTGTTATAATTCTTTTTTAAATTAAAGAATATAATACTGTAAAACGGGTAACGTTTGCGACAATAAATGTTTGCGTTTTACAAATTGAGACTGGTTTGCGCTGTTTAATGTTAGTGAGTCGTTCTACACAGTCAAGTCAGTCCTTGCACTGAACTTTTCATGGCGTGAGTTTGCGTTGTTCAAAGTGTGCGATTCGGGGCCTCTCGCGAAATTCGCAAACATTTTTACGTCGCAATAGTTACCCGTTTTACAGTAGCACCCCTTTTGTTAATCCAGGACCAGGGGATGGCTCACGCCTGCTGGCATGAAGAAAAGAGAGATTGAGAATAGAATGAAAAATGGAAACAGTGTAAATGAAAAGCCTACAAATCTAACGTGTTGGAAACCATAAGCCAAACTGCAGCGTTAGTTTAGACAGGAAGGTGGCCTTCAGCTACTGCCAGAGACGCACTCTGCTCCCCCACCGATCGGCAGCAAATGGGGTGACGGAGCGAGCATGGGAATACACCATCAGTATGGTGTTGCTGGCAATACATGTACTGCCACGGTCACATGCACACTGAAAAAAATCATCAACAGCGAGTCACATGTACATCTACATACTACTAGTATACAGTAACAGTAGTATTGTATGCATGTATGTAACAGTAGTATTGTATGCATGTATGTAACAGTAGTATTGTATGCATGTATGTAACAGTAGTATGCATGTATGTACTAGTATACAGTAACAGTAGTATGCAGTATGCATGTATGGACACAATAGTATTGTATGCATGTATGGACACAATAGTATTGTATGCATGTATGGACACATCAAAATGCACGCTCTCACACACACGCACACACAAACCAGAAATACTGTACTTCGAAGCAGGCCACACAGGCTTTGTAATAGTATTGTGAAAATACAGAACACAGCTGCTTATTCTTTCTTAAGTTAAAAAGCAGGCCACACAGGCTTTGTAATGGTATTGTGAAAAATACAGAATACAGCTGCTTATTCTTTCTTAAGCAGCCATGAATGTACAGCTCTACAGAGAATCAACCAAACGAACGAGAGAGAGAGAGAGAGAGAGAGAGAGAGAGAGAGAGAGAGAGAGAGAGAGAGAGAGAGAGAGAGCGAGAGAGCAGACAGAGAGAGAGACGATGAACATCTAAGAAAACAGATGGGCTAGGTACATTGAAGAACTTAAAAAAAGTTTCTTCAAGTAGAACACGAAGGGCATGTCTATTTCTATGAGTAGTATGGAGAAACTTTCGCACAGGAGTTTCTTCTGTACTTGCAAAGAAAAAAGAGAGAAAAGTACAAAAAGAAAATTCTGAATAGAAGGTAAAACACTGGCAATCTGGAACTGAAAATGGATATTAAATGACGATTCAGCAAATGGCCATGCTCAGTAATAGGAAAAAATACTGAGTCGTAACGTCGTCGTCGGGCCGCGTCTTTTAGGCCTGAGACGGGACGGCGTCACGTGTGAAGAAGAGAATATACGGCGTCTTGTTGGTGGGGTAGTTCATGACTTGTCCATCGCTGATGGGCTTGACGACGCTATCGTCACAGCGCACCCAGCTAGCACTCCGCTTATGCCGGACATCCGTGCTGTAGTGTCCATTCTGAGCCGTCTTGCCGTGGTGATTGATAACTGTGGACAGGAGGAACAGGAACAGGAACAAGAGATGGTCACGGGCAAAACTTGATTTGTACATGCACGTGCACCAGCGGTAACTACCACACGTGCAGCGCTCCCACCAGTGCCCACTACACTAGTACCGTAAAGTACTGTCGATCCGCCCCCTGTCAAATTTCTGCCTGTGAAGCGACGTCGGATCAACGCTACTTTACGGTATGCGGCTCAAAGAACTTAGTAATGAAGAGCACAAGGCAGCAACAGAAGCAATACTGGTTTGTTCTTCTGTGATCACCATTCGATGCAGGTTCACTGATGACCATCGAAGAAGAGCGTTTATGTCTTTATGAATCATTTTTAAACATTTTCATTTCATGATTGTTTCATGGTATTATGTCGGCATCAATTGTTCTATTTATCGCATTGTTAGAAGCAATAAGACTTGGAATATTTGCGCACACTTACCAGCAATTAGGGAGTACTGCATTGTGGCAACGGAGCATGACTGTACAGTCGGTGCCAACAGCTCCTTGCCGAGCGTCAGCTTGAAGCCAAACTTGACAAACTTATGGAGCTTTTGCGAACCTCCCTCCGCATTGTACATGAACCGCTTCAGGTGCAGGATCAGGACGGGCGGTACGCGGGACAGAGTCGAGCGGCGCACGGCATCCACTTCCTTGCGGGTGTCTTTGGACAAGTATCCCTCGAGCTTCTCCTTCCGGCCGAACAAATGAAGGGCATCTTGAACCGTGCGGACTTCATCGCCCTATGCACACAGAGCAGTAGGCAGATCACAACACAACGAGTTCGAAAGAGACGGAAAGACAGGTTGATATGAGCACCGCCTATGCAAAGCAGACCTGGGTATCAGCAAGGTTACACAAGCAAGAGTGTGCAATTATTTACTCCCATCTTGAGCTGCGACGGACACACCAACGGCGGAATTCGGTATCGCATCATCTTTTTTGGCGGACAAACATGTATGATCAAGTGTGCATGTCTGTCACCTTCGGTGGAAGTGTGATGATAGCAGTCGCTGGCCTCTGGATTGGATATACATATAGTTGAAGTACACAATACAAACAACAGCAGTAGTCCATGCCACTGTCATTCAGAGGACGGCTTCATTGAATACACCGGGATTATGATCCTTATCAGGAAAAATGACTCACATGGATATCGAGAGGAAGACACATGAATGGCTGCAGAGTAGCCGAGTGCTTGGCACCGGGACACGATACGGCAGATCTCATTTCACCGCAGAACATGGCTGAAACAGGTGAACTACTGAGGGTCTGTAGAACATGGACACAAGAGAGGGAGTGACATGCCCATATTAATTACTAGTCACACTCAACACCTGATAGTGAATTGCGGTAGTGTGCATGTGTGTGTGTGTGCGCACGCACGCGCGCGTGCACGAGAGAGAAAGAGAGAGAGAGAGAGAGAGAGAGAGAGAGAGAGAGAGAGAGAGAGTGAGAAAGCAAGGGAATAATGGAAATTAGACACGACAGTGGGACAAGAAACCTTAATGGCAGGGCAGTAAATAGGTACAGAACATTGCAGTACTATCTATTCACTGGCATACAGGAGACTATTCACTTGCAGTACTATCTATGTGCCTGGCATACAGGAGACTATTCACTTTCCCAAATACGTGGACACACGATACAGGTAGTTCTGTCCGGGTGAACATTCTTAGAGATAGGCAACAGAAATTGCTACAGAAGCCGTAGCATTGGCAAACAAGAAACATTTAAGTTCGGCACTGTGCGTAGGTCAACACAACTTGTGACATTAAAATCATGTCACACGTTTTGACCTGCGCACAGTGCCGAAAAAGGAAGAAGATACTTGAGCAAAGGGGAACTATCGTCCTAACTCACCATAGCTCTGGTCACAGCAGATTTGTTCTTCCTGCCTCCGCTCACTTGCTCCCACTCGCTGGCGTCTTCACTGGCAGTCTGCTGTTGTTGTGGTTGTCGCGATGCCATCATCATTGTGGCTGCTACCTGTGCCTTGGTTTCGCGAGCTTGGCTGGCAGCAGCGGTGGCGGCGGCGGCGGCAGCAGCACCATGGGCTGGCGTGTTGCTGCCGCTGCTGTTGAACTGCAAAACAGAGCCAATCTCTTCGTGGAGGCGGTTCAATAGGGCCGACAGGAACTCTTCGGCATCCTCCTGCATGCCCTGTACACACACACACAAGCAGAGGACCAGAATAATGATGCTTGACTTGTAAAAAGCAAAGTTCTCACTAACAGTGCATGCTTCCAGCTCCACACCAACAATATACCAACGCCCCATGCTTGAATATCCAGGCCGCCGAAACTAACAAGGTCGAAAACGGCTAGCCATCCACAGGTTTTGAGAATCTACCTCTTCTTGGTGCTTCATCTGGCATCCACTCAAGAAATTACCAGCACTTGCAGTATTCACACTTGAATTTGTTCTCGAAATTATTCTCAAAGTCTGTCAGCGCTTGCCGGAGATGATTCAACCATACTTACCTCAACAAGCTGAGAATTGATCTGCGCAACAATGGAGTAGATGCCGGTGGGCTCAAACGGTTTTCCAATCGCAATCTCGGGAGCGGCGCTCTTCTTGCGACCTCCTTTTCTCTCCACGACAGAGAAGCCATCAACCGACGACTTTTCGGCAGACGGTCGGCGTGCCCCTGGCGTGCCTGGTGGAGTAGCGACGCTCTCAAACTGCTTAACAAACGCAGCCCTGCAGCAAAGAGAAGGCATTGCACAACCGGCGAAACCATCAACCAGGCACAACACATCAGAGGAGTTATAGGCGAGCGCCAATGTTGCTGGCTGAAAGGCACCAGCTGCTCGGCACTCAAAACAAAGAAAGTGTCTTGTTCATGCAGGAATACCAATGCTCGGCACGGCGCAGACAAGTAAAGTACTTCGAAGTAGAGAGGTTCAGCAAAACGAAAATTCGCACGAAGTTTCGCGACGGACCTTGCAAAATGTGGGCAAATTCTCGCACGAACTTTGTGTTCTGCACATTTTTGTAGCTTGCACACGCCCAAGTGCATGTACGCGGTGAACCCATTGACCCGATCTCACGAAACCTCTCACGAAAGTTCATTTCGGGTTCCCTGCAAGTTTGGTGTTGCAAATTTATGAAAGTGTGTGCGAAGTTTCTCACTTCATGACGTAGAGCAAAGGTTTGTACGCATTTTTTGTTTTGCAGAGCCTCTCTAGTGTCTTTGTTTATGTATGCCAAAGCTCGGCGCGGTGCAGACGCAGACACGGCCACAGGTTATCTTACATTGCATCCAGCACTGGTGTGGAGCTTCGGGGTCGTGTGTGGACAGCCAACACGTCGGCAAGGTCGTGTAGCAAGTTGGACAGCGGAGTGCAATTGAGCAGGGCCTGCAGGACAGAGGCCATGTAGCATTTGTTTCCGCGGTTGATCAGGCCACGTAGCTCCAACACCTTTGAATGTTTACGTAGTTCACGTCCCGAGAAGAATTCTACAGTAACAAAGAAAGAAAGGCACCCAAGAGAAGCGAGTGAGCGAGTGTGTGTGTGTGAGAGACAGAGACAGAAAGAAGGCCCCCACAACTCTTAACCTGGCCTGAACTCAACCCAAACTAAAAACCGACATGTACACACAGCTTCGATCAATGTAGCGCTATTCGTAAGAAAGAATGCAGAACGCAGCTGAAATGGCATTACGAGCAGCGAAACCAACCAACCTATCAGAGATGGAACTACTGAATCATCGGAAACAGAAACCCGTTCTGGCAGCTTTGCTGGACGCTTGTGATGCTCCGCGGGTGTCGGTTGGTGATGTGTAGTAGCTCCATTGAAGGACGGTGGCTTGCTTGGTAACTTGATAACAATGCCATTAGACTCATGTTCCTTGAAGAGGCTTGCAAAGCTCTTCTTCTGTCCCCATGCAGCCTTTGGTGGTGTTCCTGCCTTTTTGTCTTCGGGAGTTGTTGCAGAGGCTGGTTCCGGGTTTCCTGCGGTTGATGCGTTGTTGCTGCTCACAGTTGCAACATCAATTTTCTGACGCTCAGCGACCTTCACTGTACCAGTTGAAGTTGGCCCTGCCTTGTGAGATTCTACAGCATTGCCATTTCCATGCGCCTTCTCTTCAATTTGCACCGCTGTGTCACTCCGAGAAAGCGACGCATCACTAAGCTGAGATGCTGGTATGAGACATGCACACAACACAAACACAAACACAAACATAATAGAGAGGGACATAGATAGATAGAGAAAGTGAGGGAGGGAGATAGACAGAGAAAGTGAGGGAGGGAGATAGATAGAGACAGAGAGAGAGAGAGAGAGAGAGAGAGAGAGAGAGAGAGAGAGAGAGAGAGAGAGAGAGAGAGAGAGAGAGAGAGAGAGAGAGGAGAGAGAGCGAGAGAATGAAAGCAAAACAGTGGAGAAGAGATAAGGCAAGCAGTTGGTTGTTGAAATCATTAAAAACAAACAAAGAAAAGTAATGCATTTCGTATTACACTAGCTGAGATCACCTGTAAGTACTTGCAAATTAAGCAGTTCTTGACCTTAAAAAAAGAAGCTTTTGCTGAGTACACCATGCATACAGCACGATGCACAGGAATGATTGAGCATCGAACAGTAAGTAATCTTCGATTTCTTTATCTTAGCAGCGATATCAGAGCCGCTAAAAGTAGCCAATCTCATACGAAATTTGCCTCACAGAGTCACAGAGTGGCTATACACTCATCTCTCTCTTATCTGGACCTCCAAGTTACGGACACCTCGATCTACGGGGCGTCCTGTGGGTGAGTTTTAGTGGAAATATGACTACTCTGTTGCCATTTTTGTGAAAATAGTGACATCATATGCCCGATCTCTGGCCCTTCCCCACTGAAACGTAGGCGATTCAGATTTACAGACATTTCGGAGTTATGGGCAGTACACGGTGACCTACCCTGTGAACTGCCCGGATAAGAGAGATATGACTGATTATGAGTGAATCAAAATGAACTACAAAACCTACCTAATTCCGCACTTGAGCTGTCCTTCGCAAAACTCCGTGGAAACTGAAAAGGGCAGGGTCAAACAGAAGAAACATGTTCCAAGTGATGCACTGATCAGACAGAAAGATTATGGACGAGTCACTTTGCAAAACACTGGAGAGGAGGAAGGCGATCACACTGGCAATAATAGACACCGGTGCATGCAGTTGGGCACCTCTTTTGGTGGTGGAGAATGCGGGGCTAGCACACAACTTGTGCGGTATGTTGCTATGCGTTCTCGAATCGTAGTTTGACCGTATTGTCCAATGGTCTTGCCAGCATACATGTACATCTGCCTGCGCTCTCCACAGCTGAGACTTTCAGCTTGTGCTTGCCTTGGTTGCGCGCACCCTCCCCATCTGTGTTAGTACCATAACTAACTATTACTTACAGTCCATTCAGAAAAAAGATGAGCGCTGCCTCTGGAGAGCTCCCGTATTTGGCGATTTTGTGGTACACTGTGCAGTGCCGCGAGGTTCGAAACTTGAAAAAGGGTCCAAAAAAGGTACCTCGACTGGGGCTCGAACCGCAAATGTACTGTTATGCAAGTGGAGTGAACGGCCTGGATTTTCATGGTTTCCCCCCAATTCAGTGCTTCGGGGGCAAAACCTAGCCGAAATCCTATTCTTGTTATGGCTTGCTTTTTGCAAAAATAGACTTCAAAAACACAATTGGAAGAGCATTCCATGGGGGATTGCCAAAAAATATGTGACGAAAACTCAAAATTTGACCCGTTTATGGCCAAAAGCTAGGATATCATCTTTTCTAAATGGACTGTAGTATCTTCCAAGTTGGAAGGCTGTTGGAGTGCGCATCCAAGGCATGCTAGAACTGATTGCCAGTTACCGTATTATCTCTACTACAAGCGCAGTCTCTTGTAGAAGCCCAGTCTCTATTATAAGCGCACTCCAAGAGGGCTTCGAAGATATTCAAGCGCAGTCTCCAATATAAGCACAGGGCTTATAATGGAGACCTGTATGGATCATGTCCATGCGTATTTGACATCACAAAGTGTCACATACCCACATGTTGTGTGACAAGTCTGTGATCCCCGAGGTAAAAATAACAGACTCAGGCCTCATTTACACGACAACGATTGAAAAACGTTTTTCAATCGTTTTCGAAACGTTTTTGCTGTTTACACGAAAACGATAATCGTGTACACTGCAACACTTTTTTCGGCGCGCAATGGTCACGTGCAAGAAGTTGGCCTGGCGCAGGCTGGCGGCGGCATGTTTTGAGTACAGGGCTCGTACTAGTAAAACGTTTTTGCCGTTTACACGAGAACGAAACGGAAACGATTGAAAAACACTTTGAAGGCCGTTTTTCGTTTGCAACGTTTTTGAAACGTTTTTCAGTGTTGTCGTGTAAACGCTCATATCAAAATCTGTGGAAGCGTATTCTTTTGAAAACGATTTTGACAAAAACGTTATTCAATCGTTGTCGTGTAAACGAGGCCTCAGTGTACCAGGAAGTTCAAAACTGCATTCACGATGCCTGGTAGGAAACTTAGTGCTACTGGTGTATTAAAAAAATGATGACCAATGTACAGGTATCAGATGGTTAAAAAAAAGTATAAGCCCTGTCTCTAGTATAAGCCCAGGGTCTAGACTCGCGAGAATGAAGTTGAAGACACCACTGCAGCTGTACCTATGGTTGATAATATGGTGGTAAAGACACACCTGGCAATATGGCGGTAAACACACGCCTGCCCACACACGCTCTCTAGGCTGCAAAGTTCTGGCACAGAGCTCTCCTTCTCACCACCACCACCATCAGTTCGCGCCTGGCGCCTGGTCGATGCATGGCTGGCGGTATCCGGCATAGCAGGCTGGTACATCAAGTAGCGCATGGCACATAGATGATGACACAGCGCGTCAAGCTCCGTATGAAGACATCCAAGAAGAAGATTGCCTGATGAGTCCAGCGGGGACGAAACGTACGTCGCAATCGAGCTATGTCGTTGCTGTGTCATCATCTATGTGCCATGCGCTACTTGATGTACCAGCCTGCTATGCCGGATACCGCCAGCCATGCATCAACCAGGCGCCAGGCGCGAACTGATGGTGGTGGTGGTGAGAAGGAGAGCTCTGTGCCAGAACTTTGCAGCCTAGAGAGCGTGTGTGGGCAGGCGTGTGTTTACCGCCATATTGCCAGGTGTGTCTTTACCACTATATTATCAACCATAGGGTCTAGACTGGTTGAAGAAATAAGTTATAAGCCCGGGCCTTATAATGGAGATAATACGGTAGTTGTAAAACGTCAGTACCGTTGGTCAGTGTCGTGCAATGTTATCGCATAAGCTGTCATGAATATCACCACATCATGAAGACTACTTCACATCAATTTGAGGTTGCAAGTATAGACTCCCGCATTGCATGATCATATCGTAATTAATTAACAGTCAGTCCAACTTGCCATAACATTTTATTATCATATTCCAAATACATTTGAGTTGGGACTTACGATGTCCAACGACGACTCTGATTACCCAGCTGATGGCACGCGTACATTGTGAATCCGAGTATTCCCAATGTCGCCTCCATCTCATCATATAATTATACTCTCCTGCATGTTTGTCTCTGCTGCTCATCACAAAATACTTAAATCTGAACTTATTTCTTCTTCTCTGAATGCACTCGTTGCTGCCAAGATTTGTTTTCTTGTAGTTGTATCATTGCATTCCGCAAGATCCGCGCTTGCATGATACAGCCCGGCTGCACACCCGCGCGCAAGCCCCAATGTTCTGCATGTCACGTGCTGGTGACTGCATTTTCGGCAGTGCGCTGCGCTACGTTTATAATATGCATATGATTTCCGTCAGGCTGGCTGCGCCCTTGGCGGGCCAGTGTTTTTTTGGGAGTTTTTTTGTTGTTGTTGGCTAGGTTTTTGATTATGGGAAGGTGAAGTCTTTAGAAAGGAAACTGTGGTATGAGAATGAGTCTGATGAGTCTGTCTTCCCCTACCGTTCTCGACATAAGCTGACTGTTCAGTACCTGGTGGTGTTAGTAGACATTATAGCGTAACTTGTAGTTCCTTTTGGTCCTTTTTCTTTCCTATAAAATCATCCTTGGCTCTCCATCCGAGTCAAATATCTCATTGCTTCCAGATTTGGCACCATTTTCTCTGTGCTGCGCTGATGAGCCCACAAAGGAAGAAACAGTTCTGTCCGCAGATTGAGTAGTCATTACATTACATAACTTTGGCCAGCTCCAACATTTTCAAAAGATAGAGGGTCTCTCTCTAATGTTAGCTACAAGATAGTCACCACAAAACAACATCGTGAATATGGCCATAAACTTACCGTTACCGTTTCGGGACGACTCCCAAACAACCTTTGGGATTCCTCTACAGAGAAGTCTCCAAACATAGGTCTCGAACATCTAGGATTCGAGGCCATCTTTCTTTCAAATTGCCCAAAACAAACTAGAAAGATCAGGATTCTGCAAAGCTGAGCAGTTACTTCTTAGCCAATACAGACTGAAGCAAGTTTCGTGCTAATCCACTGGCTAACACATTCAAATGAGTCAAAAGCCAACACAAGTGAACTGCAGCATAGCACTGAACTTCTAGATCCTCAAACAGTCAAAGCAAAACTGCAGTAAAAGTGGTTGGCTGAAAATGTGATAAAAATAAGCAGACTATGGACCATGCATGATGGACAGGCGCATGTGATTCAGTCTCTACACTGACTGTGTGCATGCATGTGACATACGCTTTTATACGTAGATCTACTACTGTACAACTACTACTAGTACTAGTACTACGAAATCCGGTCGCACGTCTAGCGGCCGCAGGGCGCTGGCCATGCAGCCGTGAGCACACGCGTACACGGCGGTCGTATCGGATCAACATGACTTTGTGCAGTGCATGCACGCAGCGTTCTGTACGCGCTGAGGGCGGCGGCCCCGGTCAATCGACTGGATTTCCATGTCCGCCCACGACTAGTCTAGACTACAACTATACTTACAAGTACAAATAAAAGACTACAACTATTACTTAGTACAAGTACAACCAAGAGTACATAACTACACAGTTACCCACCGAAGGATGTACCCAGAGTGCTGACAGTGCTATATCAACACCACAAAGGCAGAGCGTAATACACAACAGAACAACAAGGACAATCAAGGCTTGTTTGCTGCTACTTTAAGTAATTAGTTTCATGCTCACGCAATCATCAGGCAACAACTGTTGCCTGATGATGGCGTTGTCCTTGTTGTTCTGTTGTGTAACTACACAGCTATGTACTCTTGCTACAACAATAGACTACAAAGTACAATTAAAAACGAGTTACTAGTACAGTGCGTATCGGTTATAGCGTGGTCGTGTAAAAGAATATACTGCCTACAAGAATGAACGCTCATGTTTTCAAAATCATAACATGGATTTCAAGTGCACATTTATTCTTACAAGCAATTTTATCCCATAGTAGAATATATCGGAAAAAGGTCGGAACAAAACTTGCCATGTTCCGGAAGATCAGGGACAATCTGACACCGGCTGCGAGAAAGACCTTCTACTGCTCATTTATTCAAGCACACCTCGAATATGGTTCTAATGCGTTTGTACACTGCCTTCACACCACACAACATGATAGACTAACTCGTATTGCTAACCGCGCTGTTAGGATTGTTTTTGGTTTCCCTTGGCACTATGATGTTTCAGTCTTACACACCAGATATGGCCTTGCTCCTATTGCACTGCGCTATCAGCTTAAACTGTATATTCTTGTCTTTCGGGCCATACGTGGCATGTGTAGCACTCTGCTCTCTGATTGCTTCTGCCTTCGTTCTGCCACAACACGCACAGCTGCCCATACACGTTCCCAGTCCATAGATTCACTTGCTCTGCCTAAAGCACGCACTCGTTATGGCTTATTCGCTTTGAGCTTTCTGGCTTCTGACCGCTGGAATTCTCTTCCAGCTGACATTCGCTCTTGCTCCTCGCTTTCACTATTCCGCAAATCTATACGTGACCACATAGGGTACCCTGTAAAAAGGCCTTAGGCCTGTGGGGATTGCCCTATTCAAAATTTAAATAATAATAATAATAATAATAATCGGTCCTAAGAATGGACTTTGTGTCGCGAAACATGCCAGATTAGTACAAAGTGTATCGCCTGTAGTAATTACATCTGTCCATTTCCGTTCTGATCTGACTCTCGTTGCGTCGTAGTGCTGCAGATTCAACTGTTGTGGTCATGTAACTCTTGTTGCATAGCCACATAAGCCTATGGCCCAGTATGGGACTCTGGTCAGCCACATGCACAGAAGTACTGCGTTGCATGTACGATGATCTTCCTGCCCATGCGCACATGCATATGACATGCCACACTTGATTTATCGTGTGTAAGAAATATCGGAAATAAGAATAGAAAGTCGTTTTTCAAACACCCACGCTATAACCGATACCAAGAGTACATGACCTCTTGCCGATACCTACTGTACGTAGGGTCTACGACAGGTCACAGCGAGACAGCTCACAGCGCGACAACTCACAGCGAGACAAGTCACAGCGAGACAACTCACAGTGTCGTCAACTCACAGTCAAGACAACTCACAACCAAGACAACTTACTGCGCGACAACTCACAGTGTCGACAACTCACAGCGTCCTTATTTTATGTAATGGTGCAATGAAGACCTGGAGTCTGTGGGGGTTGGTCCTAGTAAAAACCTACAATGTATATGATAATAATAACGCGACGTTCTCGGCACTTCCCTATTTACATGTAATGCAAAGAAGAAAATAACATGTAACTCGGATGGTGAGCCAATTAAACAATTCTGAAAAGAAGAAGGCCAAAATGTTACGAGTTATGACTAACTGTCCACCAACGTAACGAGATCTTATACAGTCAGCGAGTGCGACAAAATACACTTAGTCATAACTCGTAACATTTTGTCCTTCTTCTTTTCACAAGAAAATAACAGAGAACTTTAATCGAGAAAGAAGACAAAGCCTGAACAAGAAGAAGACAGTAATGAAAATAAAGTTAAAATATAAGATAAAATAAAAATAACCTTGAAATTTCCTGTAAGAATCACATAATTATGAAATGCCAAGTTCGCAGCAACTCCTCATAGAAACTCATCCTTCGTCATGGTCTCAAACGACCGGAGTATGGCACGAAGTCGCTTGTCCTGATCTTCATACTTCCTCCTCTTCTTCGGAGCCTCATAGCCTGCATTTTCCCTCTCCACACACTGCTCCACCATTGCCTGCTCGACAAAAATACCATCCAGGAATTTCCAAATTGTGGGATGATGACACAGTCGATGGTAGACAAAAACTTGCGGTACAGAACACAATAATTCTGTTGTCCACAGTTTCCGGTCCACTGTCGTAGAGAAGGAAGACGTCCCCACCCTTCGTTTCTTGATAGCGCTCCGGCAACTGGAGGTCTTGCAGTGTGCCTGGGTTCGGCGGAATGTTCTGAACCCGCAGCCGATCGCGGTGTGGCTGTGAATTGTCGCGCTGTGAGCTGGGGTGGCTGTGAGTTGTCTTGGCTGTGACTTGTCTCGCTGTGAGTTGACGACACTGTGAGTTGTCTTGGCTGTGAGTTGACGACACTGTGAGCTGTCGGCTGTGAGTTGTCGCGCTGTGAGCTGTCTCGCGGTGACCTGTCGTGTTTCCGTAGATCTACGTCACAGTACGTGTACTACGTGTAGTCGACTCCACGTAACGACCAGTTACGTAGCTGATCTACGAGTACTCAGGTACTTACTAACTAATTACCATGATTACTCCCACAACTCGCACAACTAATGCAGTAATGGCTATGATATTGTGTGTTCACATAAACCATGTAAACAAGATCAAACAAAAGTCGAAAAGAGCCGGCGTAGATCGCACTGGTGCACTGGTGCACTCGTACCGTTAAGTACCCTTGATCCGCCCCCCACACCATCATGCATGTCGCTTCCCAGCTGGATTTTCAGCAGGGGGCGGGCACCAAGGCTGTCAAGTAGACATTCAGGTTTTTACAGTGCCGTTTCCATGGTTGTAGCCAATGAGCGACGTTCCCGCGGTGGCCTTGATGAGCCGATAAAGGCCCGCACGCTGTCAGCCTAGCTCTACAGTGCAGGGGCCTGCGTCAGTTTTCCGTTGCCATATCTCAGTTCATCTCAGGACCTTGCCGTCCTTGGCTTTGGAGGAGAGTAGAGTAAGTACATGGTTGGAAACCAGGTCTACAATCTTTACTTAACTTCTTAAGTTATAAAGAAGAGGCACCTGTGACGTGTGTTTGTGTGTGTGTCACGCAGAAGCTGAGCACGCGCGAAGCGTGCGAACATGTGTAGCCACCACCACGTGCTGAGCACGTGTGCTGTTCATGTACTTGCTTCACCCGCCGCGCGCCGCATGCCACGTTCGGCCACGCCGGCGCCAGGCAACGCTGGCCGGGGATGCTGCTAGTCATGTAGATAACTGATTGGGCATGCCTGTAGACATGACCTCATGTCCAGTTCTGTTCATTGATGTAATAAACATACAAGTACTATGATTTTCGATTTTGACAGCATGTTACAAGGCGAGGACGCGTAGTGCTCCTGACTACAACCATAAACCGGTTGGCAGAGTCCCGGTCTTGCGACCATTTGAACCGTATTGCCTATACTATTGGGAAAAACAAAACGCCCCGGAGCACCACGCGCGCCAGCATCACCGCACGCAGATCTACGCGCGATCCCCGCGCACGACCTACGACACCACGCAAGATCGACGTCTCCAGAACACAACTCGCGAAGACAACAAGAAGCCATCACGTCGTGTCCGACTACACTCCACATATCTTCCTCAGCCTACGTTCACCTTCGACGTCGACGACCATCTTACCAGCTCCTCGGACAACCTGGAGAGATCTCCCGGTAAGTCCAAAGTCAACACGCGTGTCTCTCTCAGAGACCCGCCAGTGAGACTTCTCTTCTCCTTCGATACACCAATAACCGCCGTCCTGTCTGTGTGTTTTATAGCTCCGTCCACCTGACAGAAGACTCAGCCCACGCCACGAAGAACGTGATACAACACTAACCCCTTCATCAATAATTAATTAGTAAACAATTTCTCGTTCAACAAAGGATTAATACCGGAGAGCCCAAACCCCCTGGGGGGACGCACAATTAATTAACTACGAGTGAACCCAAGACGATCTACGCGCGATCCCCGCGCACGACCTACGACACCACGCAAGATCGACGTCTCCAGAACACAACTCGCGAAGACAACAAGAAGCCATCACGTCGTGTCCGACTACACTCCACATATCTTCCTCAGCCTACGTTCACCTTCGACGTCGACGACCATCTTACCAGCTCCTCGGACAACCTGGAGAGATCTCCCGGTAAGTCCAAAGTCAACACGCGTGTCTCTCTCAGAGACCCGCCAGTGAGACTTCTCTTCTCCTTCGATACACCAATAACCGCCGTCCTGTCTGTGTGTTTTATAGCTCCGTCCACCTGACAGAAGACTCAGCCCACGCCACGAAGAACGTGATACAACACTAACCCCTTCATCAATAATTAATTAGTAAACAATTTCTCGTTCAACAAAGGATTAATACCGGAGAGCCCAAACCCCCTGGGGGGACGCACAATTAATTAACTACGAGTGAACCCAAGACGATCTACGCGCGATCCCCGCGCACGACCTACGACACCACGCAAGATCGACGTCTCCAGAACACAACTCGCGAAGACAACAAGAAGCCATCACGTCGTGTCCGACTACACTCCACATATCTTCCTCAGCCTACGTTCACCTTCGACGTCGACGACGATCTTACCAGCTCCTCGGACAACCTGGAGAGATCTCCCGGTAAGTCCAAAGTCAACACGTGTGTCTCTCTCAGAGACCCGCCAGTGAGACTTCTCTTCTCCTTCGATACACCAATAACCGCCGTCCTGTCTGTGTGTTTTATAGCTCCGTCCACCTGACAGAAGACTCAGCCCACGCCACGAAGAACGTGATACAACACTAACCCCTTCATCAATAATTAATTAGTAAACAATTTCTCGTTCAACAAAGGATTAATACCGGAGAGCCCAAACCCCCTGGGGGGACGCACAATTAATTAACTACGAGTGAACCCAAGACGGTCCAGCGCAACAGCCGAGGTAAGCAATGCTGACTTCCGACATTTGATCCCAAAAACCGGTGTACCTCACCTGAACAACATACTGGAAGCTGCACTGAACTTATGTTTCCATGTTACCAATTGCAACATTCCACAAATCATTCATAATTGAAGGAAAAGTAACCCTGAAGCTGATTCAAGAAATATAACTCTGTTTTATTTGTGGAATTCATGAGGTCCGTGAACAAGACTATTAGTATTACCAAGACCAACAGCAACAACGAGAACAACACTAAGGAGAACAACAACAACAACAACAACAACAACAACAACAACAACAACAACAACAACAACAACAACAACAACAACAATCAACGACAATTACAACGACAACAACTATTACAACAACATCAACGTCCATCAACACCCAGACCACAACACCAACGTGCAGACGGGGTGTTCCGACGTGGTGAAGGCGGCCATGGCCTCGTCGGGACATCACCAACCTCGTCGGCAGCGAGCACCTTCTCACAACAGTCGTCATGGTGATGACTATGACTGTTACAGCTGACGAGCTGAGAGAAGGACGCCATGGGCAGAAGTTGAAAAAAGACAAGAAAAAAGAAAAAGAACAAAAGAACAAAAGAAAAAAGAAATAAATCACAAATAATTTAATTACAGAGGAAGACAAGAAAATAACATCACAAATCCTTCCAGACGTGATCCCTGCAGCGGCAGCAACGTGAACAATACTACGGCGGCAACACGACGACTTCTACAACACAAAAAAACGAAAATTATAAAAATCCTACCAACCCGTAGAGTAACGAGGGTCCGAACCTGGGTTTTCCCAATACGGTTCAAATGGTCGCAAGACCGGGACTCTGCCAACCGGTTTATGGTTGTAGTCTGGAGCACTACGCGTCCTCGCCTTGTAACATGCTGTCAAAATCGAAAAACATGTTAACTACCAAGCAAGGCTTCTGTATATAAAGTACTATGATGTAAGGTAGCAAAGGTGGCTACATGTAGTAAGCAATCCCACATTTCCTCTGTGCTGCGCTGATGAGTTCAAAAAGAACGAAACAGCATGCTGTCCGCAGATTGTGTAGTAAGCAATCCAGTATTCTACAAGCTAATGGCGATGTTGACAACAGGTTTGAACGCGTGTCAGTAAAGGAGTGACAAAACTAAACAGCTACAACCTGAAAACAATTCAAAACATTCTTCTTCTTTAAGGCCAAGGGAAAAATGGCAAGAGTTCTTGCCACCACTTCCCCGACCTCCACCCCTAGGTGGTATCGCGCTTATAATTATAGTCTACTAGCAGCATGCACCCGGCCAGCGTTGCCTGGCCGAACGTGGCATGCATGCTGTAATAGTTTTACCTTGACACTTCTTGCTTGTCTTATGGTAACACCTTGTGTTCCTACTATTCTCACTCCTGCGGTTCTCACCTTTCTTTTGCTTTATAACCTCTGGTTTGAACATCATTCGACGAATTCTCCAATCAATCAAGTCTATACTGTTACACTGGTAGCTTGAGGATGGTTGAGATCATCGTTTGCCCTTTGACGTGCCTTGTGCTCCTGGCCGCTACTGCTCTGCTATACGCCGCTTTCCGTGAGATCCGCCGCGCTCGGGACAACGTGGCTGCTACAGTTGGACGACATCAATTACCTGCTACATCAAGCTCAAGTCCTCCGGATCTAGCCCCGTGTCGATCGCGTTCTCTCTCCCAGACAAGCCCGAGCGTCAAACGCGTTACCAGAGAACCGAATGTTTTCCATGGCAACCCTTCCGAGTTCAAAGAATGGGTATTTACGGTCGAGTTAGCCTTGAAGTGCTCACCTCAAGGTGACCCGGAGAGCCAAGTTAACTTTGCGGCTAGCTACCTCGCTGGGAATGCGCGTCTTTGGCTAATTTCTTCCCTGGAAGCAGGTGAGCAATTTTCGGATTGGCATTCTTTGAAAAGCGCCCTAGCGCGAGTGTATGGCCCGCACTATGATGGGGAAAGAGTGCGGTTGGATATGTTCTCTATCCAACAGCGTGGGTCAATTGAATCGTACGTAACGGAGTTTTCTCGGCTAAGTTTACAGGTGCCGGAACTTGACGAACTCTCCAGAGCCTTGCTATTTGTCAACGGCCTGCACGGTAACATGCGGACCTTGGTAGTGAAGGAACACCCCACTACACTGTCAGCCGCCGTTCAGTCAGCGCTAGCAGTCGCCTCAGACAGCCGATTTCAGCGCAGACCACCACTGGCGACCGCGCCGGGATTCGCACCACCATCAGGTAGCAAAAAGCTAACAAAACTAAGCCCCGAGGAACGTGAGACATTACGAGCCCAGGGGGGCTGCTTCGCATGTCGTCGACCAGGCCATATGGCCCAGAATTGCCCGCATCATCGAGATCACCCAAACGGTGGACGTCAGTAAGGCCGATGCGATTACTGACGCAGCAAGAAAAGGCATCACCTGCGTGTAGTGTGTGCTCCGTCTCTACCCGTAACCGATTCAGTAGCCTCGCTGTGGAGGATGTTGACGATGATGCTGAATGCTCCGAAGCCAATTTCAAGCGAGATGTTACACCAACTATTGAGGCCCAGGTTACCAGCGTCAATGTGGAAACGGAACATGAGCTCCTGCGTGTAGAAGGCAAAATCAACGGTCGTCGCGCGCTTATGTTAATAGATTCGGGCTCGACCCATGATTTCATTGCCGAACAGTTTGCCAGGAGAGTTAACCTGCCAACCGAAATTGGCTCGGAAAACCTGAATGTCACGCTGGCTGATGGAGCATCAAGCTCGTTTCCCATGGAGACGACCCATGAATTGAAGGTTATCGTAGGCGACTTCAGCGATAACCAAACCTTCACGGTGTTCCCCCTTCATCGCTATGACGCTATATTGGGGAAACCTTGGTTAACGCGTAACAATCCAGACATAAACTTCCGGACGAATGAAGTCAGGTTGAACTCGAATGGTTTGCCTTGTGCGTCGCCCAGTCAAAGCGAACCGACCGCTCCTGTGGAGGCGATGTTCATATCTGGTCGTCAGGCTAGGCATGCCCTTAGGAGTGGAGACGAAGGTGTTCTGGCGTGGGTCAGCGTAGAAGACGGCATTGGCAAGGAACCTCCCGACAAATCCACTCAGAACGAGCACCCAGATCTCAAGGCCATGTTCCGTGACTATGACGATCTTTTCCCGGATGATCTGCCAGCTAGACTCCCACCAGAGAGGTCTGTAGACCACGAAATCCGCCTGGAGGAAGGCTCATCACCCCCATCGCGACCTGCCTATCGCCTGCCCAGGCCAGAAATGGAGGAATTGAAGAAACAGCTCACAGAACTCTTGAAAAAGGGTTTCGTAGAACCAAGTAAGTCCCCCTTTGGTGCACCGGTGTTTTTTGTCAAGAAAGCTGATGGTTCGTTACGCATGGTCTGCGATTGGAGGGAGCTAAACAAGATAACTGTTAAGAACAAGGCGTGCTTGCCCAATGTGGATGATTTATTCGATACCGTACAGGGCGCTAGGTACTTCACGAAACTAGACCTCCGATCAGGGTATAATCAGATTCGCATTCAAGCTGAGGACGTGCCCAAAACCGCGATTAACACTCCCTTTGGGCATTACCAATTTAGGGTCATAACATTTCAATCCATGATGAATACGATTCTTCAACCATATCTGAGGGAGTTCGTAGTCGTGTTCCTAGATGACATACTCATCTTCAGCAAAACGTGGTCGGAGCATATGCAGCATGTCCGGTCGGTATTGAGCGTGCTCCGGGACAACCAGTTATTTTGCAAACGGTCAAAATGTGAATTTGGCGTGGAGAGTGTGCGGTTCCTGGGACATTGCATCGATGGACTGCACATCGCCCCTGACCCAGACAAGATTGCCGCAGTAAAGGTCTGGCCCGCTCCGACTTCCGTCACAGAGGTGAGGCAATTTCTTGGATTTACGAATTATTTTAGGCGATTCATAGATCAATACTCATCGCTCTCTAAGAACTTAGAGGAGATAACGGGAAAACATGCACGATTCGAGTGGAACAGCTCTCGGCAACATGCCTTTGAATCGCTAAAGCATGCCTTGTTGAATGCGCCCCTATTGCGGCTGGCTGATGTGAACCGACCATTCGGAGTGGTAACAGATGCAAGCGATTTCGCCTTGGGATGTGTTCTTCTCCAAGAACTAGAGGAAGATGCCTGGCATCCAGTGGCTTATGCTAGCCGAAAATTGTCTGCTGCGGAACAGAATTATACAGCTACAGAAAGAGAAACATTGGCCGTAGTGTTTGCGCTAAAGACCTGGCGCATCTACCTCTTTCAACACTTTGAGGTCATTACAGACAACATGGCGGTAGTTTATCTGAAAACAAAACCAAGCATTACAAAGAGAGAGGCGCGATGGGTTGAATTCCTAGCTGACTATAACTACACAGTCCGTCACAGACCCGGCAGAGAGAACCCTGCAGATCCCCTTTCGCGTCGCCCAGATCTCCATGAGAGTAACCTCGTGGAGAATGCAGTACCACGTTTGAATGCTATTGAGTATGCTTTAGCAATGAATGATGACGTGTCCAATACAATATCAGATGCCTACCAGAGAGACAAAGAGCTAACTCCCATCATAGAAAGATTGAAGCATTCTCTCCGAGATAATTTGCATGATCGCTATT